ATAATTTTCTAAAAACAATCTTAGATTTTCACATGTGATAAAATTGGAGAACAATATTTTCATGTGTAACTGAGTATAGTAAGTGTTTGGTTTAATACCTTAAGAGTGCAGTTAAATGTGGGCCATCTGGATATTTAATATTGCTGTTTTAGTTGCTCAGTCTGAAGCAGCATTAACTCTTTAACTGACTGCACATGATGTTATAATTTGAAATACCAATAAGAAATCATAGAACCATGACATTCCACACCTCATTCTATATCACTACATCATGCTTAATATATATAAACAAACAATAATTAACATGCATTAAACACACACGCAAATATAATATGCATGGAAATACTGACTGCACTCCATCAAATTCCTTTGTACGCACTGAACATTCCCGTTTTTCTGCATTAACCAGCAAGTGGACCCATGTCCCTGAGCAAAAAGAGTTCCATGGAGAGGTCTGGCCTTTCCAGAAGCTGGAAGGACCCAAACTGCTTTTCCCAACACGCTCTTTACTTGCGCTACAGGGACCTTATCTCCATCTACAGTATGTAGGGAGCTGGGCTGGGCAGGACTATCTCCATTGATAGATTCTTAAGTATTGACCAACCAAATGGCTTCTGCCAAATGCTTCTTCCAGTGTATAAATGTTCTGCTATCCATTGCTTTCAGTGTAGATTTTAACAACCCATTGTATCATTGAGTTTTACAAGAAACTGGTGCATGATAGGGGATATGAGAAATCCACTCGATGCCCAAGTGTTTACACGAGAATTTTGATATGAGTCCCATTCTCTGACTCAGCGCTTTCTGGAGTGCCATGTCACCACAGGACTTGTTTCTCCAGACCTAATATGGTGTTTCGGGCAAGTAGCATGGGGTACTGCATATGTTTCAAGGCACCTGGTGGTTACCTCCACCATGATAGGCGTGTAATGCTCACCATAATGGGTTCATGATAAGGTGACATAATCAACCTGCCATGCCTCTATATTTTTGCCATTACCCTTTCCTCTAGAGAGGTTTCATCCTCTTGGCTTGTTTAATTGTCGTGCGTATGTCACAGTCATGAATAACTTGTACAATAGCATCCATAGTTAAGTTCACCCCTCAGTCTCTAGCCCGCTTATATTTTGCATCTCCTCCTTGATGGCCTGAGGTCTCCTGAGCCCATCAAGTTAGAAATAATTCAGCCTTGCATTGCCAGTCCAAATGTGTTTGAGCCACTTCAGTTTTGGCGGCTCGAGCAACCTGATGGTTATTCTGTTGTTCTTCAGTAGCCCTACTCTTGGACACATGACCGTCTATGTGACGCACCTTTATAACCATATTTTTTGTTCGGGCAGCAATGTCTTTCCACAGTTCAGCAGCCCAAATAGGTTTACCCCTTTGTTGCCAGTTATTTTGTTCCCACTGCTGTAACCCCATAGGGCATTTGCCACCATCCATGAATTAGTGTAAAGATTAAGCATTGGCCATCTCTCCTATTCACCAAAATCTGAGGCCAGTTGGACAGCGTTTACCGCTGCAAATTGGCTTGATTATCCTTTCCTTTCAATGGCCTCTGCAACTTGTGTAAGAATGCACACAGCAGATTTCCATCTGTGATGCTTCCCCACAATACGACATGATGCATCTGTGGACAAGGTATATTTCTTTTCATTTTCTGGTAGTTCATTGTATGGTGGGGCCTCTGTAGCATGCGATACTTCTTCTGCTGGTAATGTTCCAAACTTTTTGCCTTCAGGCCAATCCATGATCACGTCTAAGATTCCCAAATGACTGAAGTTCCCCACCTGAGCTCATCGTGTAATCAGTGCAATCCGCTTATTCTAAGTAGCATCAGTAGCGTGATGGGTGGAAGGAAACTTTCCTTTAAACATCCAGTTGAGCACCAGCAGCTGAGGTGCTAAAAGGAGCTGCATTTCTTTACTTTGCAAGCAGCCCGAACCGCTTCATACACAGCTAAGATCTCCTTTTCAGTTGGAGTGTAGCACTCTTCGGATCCCCTGTATGCTCTGCTCCAAAATCCCAGGGGTCGGCCTTGGGTCTCTCCTGAGGCTCTTTGCCACAAACTCCACAAGTGGGACCTTTCTCTCCAGCAGCACTGTAGAGGATGTTCTTTACATGTTGTCCGTACTGGCCTCAGGGCAGTGACTTGGGCTATCTCCTACTCAATCTGCTCAAAAGCCTGCTGCTGCTCAGGACCCTGTGTAAAATTATTATTCTTCCATATCACCTGATAAAGGGGGCTTGCAATGAGGATATAGTTTGGAACATGCGTTTTCCAAAAGCCCACTAAACTCAGAAAAGATTATTTCTCTTTCTTATTAGTGAGTGGAGACATAGCAGTAATTTTGTTGACCACATCCATTGGGATGTGACAATATGCCCATCTTGCCACTATATCTAGGAACTGAATTTCCTGGGCAGGTCCTTTCACTTTGCCTCGCTTGAAATTGCTTAATAGTGAAACCAGCATGCGGAAGGATCTGAATTATTTACTCTCCTTTTTTGAAAACTTCCTCTGCTATATTGCCCTACACAACGTCATCAATATACTGCAGGTGCTCAGGAGCACTGCCCTGTTTCAGTTCATTTTGGATCAACCCATGGCAAATGGTTGGGCTGGGCTTCCACCCCTTGGACAAATGGTTCCAGGTATACTTAACACCTCTCCAGTTAAAAGCAAAGTGTCCTACATTCTGTGGCCAAAGGAGTGGAGAAAAAGACATTAGCAGTGTCAATGTTGGCATACCATTTGGCTGCTTTTGACTCCCATTCATTCGGGAGCTCCAACATGTCTGGCGCAGCAGCACTCAGTGGGGGTGTGACTTCATTCAGGCCACAGTAGTCCACTGTCAGCCTCCATTCTCCACTGGCTTTACGCACTGGCCATATGGGGCTGTTAAAAGGTGAGTGAGTTTTGCTGACTCTCAGCTTACATGTAGGGAACAGGGAATCCGTGTTAGTGCAGTACTGCTGTCTGTGCACCATTTTTGCAGCAGTTCGTACCTGTTGCTCTTTTACTTGTAGCAACCCCACCACAGATGAATTTTCTGACAGGCTGGGCAAAACAAACAACTGCTTAACATCTTCTCTGTCTGCAGCAGCTATTCCAAAGATGCACCAATACCCCTTGATATCTTTAAAATGCCCCCTTCTGAGGTAGTCAGTACCAAGTATACATGGAGCCCTGGGCCAGTCACAATAGGATGATTTGCCAGTCTTTACCAGTGATGCTTATTTTGACCTCCAGCACAGTCAACTCTTTGGAACCCACATTGACTCTAGAAATATAAATTCTGTCCATTTGTGACTTAAGGGCGTTAGAGTGCACCAGTGTCTAGCAGTGCTTCATATTTCTGTGGTTCTGATGTGCCATACCATCGAATCCACACAGTCCAGTACACTCTGTCATCCCTTCCACCCTCCCTTCCCCTCTTCCATCTGAGGGCAGGGCCTCTAATTATTACTTCTATTGTTCCCTCCCCTGAGTCATGATCAGGGCACTTAGAGCTTTTGCCCTGTCCCGGGGCAACTGGAGCAGTCACCTTCTTAGAGGAGTTTGCCTTGGTGCTTGATCTGTCTTGTAATTCTTTTACCCACGCTTGAAATGTAGAAGTGGGTTCTTTATACCACTTCTTCATATCTTCTCCATGCTCACGTAGTATTTTCAAAAGACATTATGCGATGTAATCTTACTATTGTCAGTTGCTCAAGCAGAAGGTTGTCTACTTTTAATAGCTGAGATACTGGATGATGCAGGTGGGGAGGAAATTTGGTCAGCCTCTTAGGTACACTGTTCTAGTATCCAGATCCTCATTAGGTGTCTCTGATGCCACCACAGGTTCATCATGATGAAGCATGGTAGACAGTTCCTCCATCGTATCTTCTTGTTTACACTCCATTCTATGCAGTCTTTCAGTTACTTTTGAAATGGCTGAAATATATGTTTGTGGAGGGGTTAAATATAGCTCAAAATCGTAAAGTCTAATTATTGGTTCAGATAAAAGGGTCTTCTTTGCCCTCTGTCATACATTCCTGCTAGTGCAAAGATGTACTTTTCTGATGCAGTTCTTATGAATTTTTGCCACACACTTGGCTTGGTGTATACCTGACTCTCTCAGGATCATGCTCTTGGTGTAGATTTTCAGGAATTAATGTGGGGTCGTGTAACATTTTAATCATGGCAAATTCTCTCAAATAATGGATGCCTTTTTCTCTAATAGTCCATTTCTTTAACTCAGGCAACAGATCTTCTTTGAGTGGATATTTTTCCTTTAGAGCTAATAGCATTTGCTTTCAGAGGGTGAAGGCCCCATCCAGACCTCTGTCTGGATGAGTTCTTAGCAGTGCTTCCCAGTTGGAGATCTTCCATTTATCTGAATATTGGCCCCACTGTCCCAACATTGAAGTAACCAGGTGTCAATGGGTTTGTTCTGGTGCCATGAAAAATCTTTTCTTGAACCTCAAATTTCAATCATTTTCAGAGGTGGAGTAGTAAATTAGTTAGCTTTAGAAGAATTGAGTGTTTTAATGATAAATAATTTCCTTAAATTTGCTTGGATTTTTTCAGATAAAATTAGAGAACAATATTTTCACATGTAACCAGTTATAATAAGCATTTGGTTTGATGCCTTAAGAGTGCAGTTAAATATGGATCATTAGATATTTACTATTGATGTTTTAGTTAGTCTGAAGTAGAATTGTTCCGTCTTATTCTTCAGCCTCCAAGGTGGTTGCCCATAAGAGAGTTCCTCTTTAAAAATTCTATTTGTTTCCTTGAATGTTTAAGTAGTTAAGAAAGCAAAGAACTCCAACTAAGTTGAGGAAGCAAATTATGGAATTCAAGTGTGTTTTACTTCTGAATTAATGTGGAAAAAATGTCAGAACACTTTTTAGTAATTTTCTGGCAAAGTTAGTAGAAAGACCATTGATATTTCCATTTATCTGAATATTTAGTGGACTAACTGATCGTAACTAGATTTTCTCCAATTTTGTAGGCATTTGACATATCTTCTGATGAAAACTTTGTTATCACCACAACAAACAGAAAAGAAATTACAGAAGACAACTTCAGTAAGTATCTTAGATAGCGAAATAAATACAGGCACCTCTTATATTGATTGTAAAGATCACATGGTGACTACACAATTATATGCATTAATTAACTGGAAATAAAAATTGTGAAATAATTTGCCAAGAGTTTTACGAAATTGGCTTTTACAAAAAGTTTTTAACAAGTGCTAGTTAGTATGGTAAAAGCTATATAAAGTGAATTTTCTACTTCCATTATGATTTCTGTAAATAATTAGGAAAGGAATGGCTCATAAATAGCTGTTACCAAACAAAACCTGAATTATTTAGCTTGGAAATATGCAAGGATTTTTTAATCAAGACCTCTTGCCAGAAGGCTGAGTTGTCAGTACTCAAGCAAATACAGAGATTATCTGTGGCTAAACTTGTACTGTTTTAGATAAACTGGATAGTACATTGAACACTCTCCAAAATACTTTATATTTTGTCTTCATTGCAGAAGAACTTGTTCAGGATGGAGTTACTCTTTATCTACTACAGTCAGTTGACCAAACCCTGCTTTCAGCAACAAAGGAGAGAATTGACTTCCTGCCCCACTATGATACACTTGTCAAAAGTGGCATGTATGAATACTATGCCAGTGAAGGGCAAAATCCTTTGCGTAAGTATAAATAATATTGCATTAATGATGTTTATATGACTGTGATGATTAAGAACAATGCAATTTCAGTAGTAGCTGGTAAAAAAAATGTAGTCTTAGCTGTTAAAGGAAACTTAGCTAAGCTTTTTAAATAAATTGCTCTCTTAGAAATGACTTAATCTGGTTTCATATGCGGCCATTTTTACAGAGGTATACCTAAATACATCTGCAAGAAGTTTGGGTATTTTAGATGTAAAATGACTTTAATCTTGATGATAATCTTGCAAATGTCATCAGTTTAGATCATCATTGTTATCATCAAGCTTTGTCTCTTGTATTTAAAATGCAACTTGTTTGAATTTGATGACTAGTTTTAATACAAGTTACTATAGAATTTTTTTCTACTGTTCCATCTCTGGTTCTACAGGGCTTAGCTTTTACCAATGAGAACAAGTATTACTTAAATTATATATTCTTCAGTTTTTATCTAACTCATACATTAAATATGTAACTTAAAGCATTTTGTATTCCTCTACTGTAAAAAAAAAAAAACTTTCCGTTTATGGTTTCTCTAAAAATTTTGTTTGTAGCTATGATTACTTTTTAAATATATACTTCTATGTATACATGCTATGGTTAAGTTCATGCTCTGGAGGGATAGTGAGACAGGTAAAGAGTAAAATTAGGAAGGTCAACTTCAGGAAAGCTAAATTCCAGCTCTTTAGGGAGTTGGTCAATGGAAGACCCTGGAAAACTTTCCTGATAGGCAAGGGTATGGAGCAGAGCTGGCAGATCATTGAGAACACATTGAGAACTCAGGGTGCAAGAGCTCACCATCTCCAGGTGTGTCAAGTCAGGAAAGGAAAGGAATGCAAGAGACTGGCATGGCTGAACTGAGACCGGCTGGTCAAACTGAAGAGTGAAAAGAAAATACACAGGCAGTGGACACAGAGAAAGGTACTGTGGGAAGAGTATAAGGAAGCTGCTAGGCTGTGTCAGGATGGGGTCAGGAAAGCCAAGGCCCAGCTTGAACTGAATTTGGCTAAAGATGCCAGAAGGAGCAAGGCTTCTATAGATAACCTTAAACAGAAAATGAAAGTCCAGGAGGGCATGCAGCCCCTAGTGAGTGGTAGTCACAAGCAGGCTGGTGACAACAGGCGATGAGAAGGCTAAAGTAGTTAATAACTTTTTGCCTTGGTCTTCTCTGATACCTTGCTCATCACGCAGCAATCAAATGTTTGATTTGGTCGGAGAGGATTGGGGGAGCAACATCTCTCCCACTGAAAGTGTTGATCAGGTTCACAATTATCAGAGGAACTTGAACATTCACAAGTCTACAGATCCCAATGAGAGGCATCCCAGAGTCCTGAGAGAATTGGCTGGTGTGGTTGCCAAGGCATGCTCAGTGATATTTGAAAGGTCACAGCAATGAGGTGAGGTCCCTGGTGATGGAAAAAATGTAACATCACATCCATTTTTAAGAAGGGCAAAAAGGAACTACGCTGGGAACTACCAACCTGTCAGTGTCACCTCTATGCCAGGAAAAATCATGAAGCAGGTCATGCAGGAATATGCTGAGGCATGTGGAAGGCAGGATGGAGATATGGGAGAAGGAGCATGGCCTCACCAAGGGCAAATCCAGCTTGATCAACTTATTGGCCTTCTATGATGGTGTCACTGCATCGTTGGACAAGGGAAGAGCCACCAGTGTCATTTATCTGGACATTTGACAGTGTACCCCATAACATTCTTCTCTCCAAATTGGAGAGATGTGGATTTGATGTGTGGAATGTACGATGGATGAAGAACTGGCTGCAGAATCTAGTCCAGAGAGTGGTGGTCAATGGCTCAATATCTCAATATCTGGAAATCAGTGATGAGTGGCATCTCCCAGGAGTTGGTGCTGGGGCCAATGCTCTGTAATACCTTCATCAGTGACATCAACAGTGGGCTCACGTGCCTCCACAGCAAGTTTGCCGATTACACTGAGGTGTGCAGTGCAGTTGACACACCAGAGGGATGGGATGTGATCTGGAGTGTCCTTGACAGGTTTGAGCAGTGGGCCCAGATGAACATCTTGAGGTTCAACAAATCCAAATGCACAGTCTTGCACTGGTTTGAGGCAACATCCACTACCAATACAAGCTGGGGAATGAAAGGATTGAGCGCAGCCCTGCCAAGAAACAACTGTTGGTACTGGTGGGTGAAAAGCTGAACAGGGGCCAGGAATGTGCTCTTGCAGCCCAGAGAGCCATCGGTATCCTGTGCGGCATCAAAAACAGCATGGCCAGCAGGGTGAGGGAGATGATCCTGCCCCTCTGCTCTGTGCTGATGAGCCCTCAGTTGGGGTACTGCATCCAGATACGGAGTCCTTAGTACACGAGAGACATGAACCTGTTGGTGTGTGTCCAGAGGAGGGCCACAAAAATGATGCAATGGATGGAACACCTCTCCTGAGAACAGGCTGAGGGAGCTGGGGCTAAAGGCTCTGTGGTGACCTGATGGACCTTTAGTACCTAAGGGGAACTGCAGAAGAGAAGGGAATTAATTCTTTAGCAGGGTGTTGTGATAGAGCAAGTGGAAATGGTTTCAAACTCAAAGAGGGTAGATTTAGATCAGGTATAAGGAAAATATCTTTTTCAGAGTGGATGGTGAGGCACTGGAACAGTTTACCCAGTGTTGTGGTGAATGCTCCAGCTCTGGAGACCTTCAAGGTGAGGCTGGATGAGGCCCTGGGCAACCTGGTCTAGTTGTAAATGTCCCTATTCATTTCAGGGGAGTTGGACTAGATGATTTTTAAAAGTCCCTTCCAACTCTTAAGGATTCTGTGATTCTATGATTTAGGTCCAGCCCAGCATGCTCAAAATTGTCTAGAAAAATACATGAATATCAAGACTTAAGCACAGAACTTCCCACATCTATTTATTTTTCAGAGGAATCTCATCAGTATCTGTAAACACCAACTGTACTTTTAAGTACTATTCTTTTTGTCACCCCCCTTTCTTTCTGCCCTGCGTTTACTACCTTCCATCCATCCCCCCAAAATACACTTTTTTGGTTCAGTGTCTGTCTAGTTCATTTTGTTCCTAACAGCAGCTGGTGTCAGAAATCTGGGATTTAGTATGAAAACAGAAAGGCAAGGATATAACAGAAGTGATAGAGAGACTTCTGAGTTTATGCCTGGAACAGGCATAAACAGTCTACTGTTTTCTGTAAGTGTATCCAGTTACCTTCTGAACCATGTACATTTCTATTATTCACAGTATTTTCTAGTTTTGATCCCCCCACTTAATTGCACGTTATGTGAAATACTGTGGGGTTTTTTGTATACATTGATATAACTACTTAAATGTGAGAAAAGCACTTCTAGGTGAATGTGTACATTGCAGCAGACAGTCCAACTCATTCTGTTCTCACTTGAATAAACAGTACTACAATCAGTACTACAATGAACTACACTTGTTTTCATAGAAGGAATTGTTAAATCTTACGAATTCTTTAAGAATGTGGAATAATTCAGTCCTGCACTTTATATAAGCAGTCATGCATTTTGCTGCTATCAGTTCTCTCCCCTGAAATGCACCCGTCAGCAGGAAAACCTTATTGCTCATTTTGATAAGACTCACAATGCTGCTATGAAATCACAAAGGATGATACATGCACACATAGTTTTCCTTTTGTTACTGGTGCTGTTTGTTTGTTTCCCATTTCCTCTCTGTTCGCCGTAAGAGGCACTTTCCAGTTCTGTCACTTCACATTATGATCACTTTTGTGCTACAGAGGTTCTGCCAATCTTTGCATCATGTAGAAAATGTTTGTAGTGTTCACAAATACTATGTTCGTTGTCATCAATTTCAAAAGGACAGCATTAAAAGTCGTTGACATACTATTTTAAAAGTACATAACTTCACTATTAGAAGGCATCTGAATAACAGAAGAAAATAGCAACATGCATAAAAGCATCCGATTTTACAGTATGTTTTGAATGTATCGTGGCATCTTTGTCAGATTGATTTGTTTGATATCCTAATTGATATCCTAATAACCCAGAAGAAACTACTGAAAGCATGCATCTGTTTTTGAAGTATTATCTTTTAAGAAAATGATTTTAATGGGGTGATTTTTTTTTTCTTTAATTTCTTCAGCATTTGCTCTTGCTGAGTTGATTGACAATTCTCTATCAGCTACAGCTCGAAATACTGGTATTCGAAGCATACAGATTAAATTGGTAAGTCAGAAATACACATTTTTAGTAGTTCCCCCTTTTTTTTGTGATGTTTTCCAAGCTGCTCCCTGTTTTTTGTGGTTCTTTTTCCCCCAACAGTTATTTGATGACTCCAATGGAAAACCAGCTGTTGCTGTGATGGATAATGGAAGAGGAATGACTTCTAAACAGCTTAACAACTGGGCAGTATATAGATTATCAAAGTTTACAAGACAAGGTGACTTTGAGAGGTTAGAAAGTTTTAATTATATTTATGTACTGGAATGATAATTACATAATCATATTTACAACTGGAAAATTGCAGGTGCTTGTAGAATATCATTCTAAGAAGTATCTCTATAACAACACTTAGCTGAAATCTGTCATTCTGTGATTACATAACAATGCATATGTATTTCCTGTAAGTAGAAAATTGAGAAACTTCTGCTAATTTTGTGATACTGGGAAAATATTTTTCTCTACTGGTTTCCCAGAGGAATAATGAATACAGGGTTTTGGTTTAGGTTTGTTTTTTTTTTTTTTTTACTTAATTGTACAATGTAATGCAAAATTATACCTAAAGATGTCTGTATTTATTGAAGAGAGCTAGAGGCAAAATGAATGCAGATTTTTTATTATTATTATTATTTTTTTTTAAGACGAAAGAGGTTTTAAAGAGAAAATAGAGAATCTGTGCCCAAATAATTTTGTGCCTGTACAATCTGGCTTAATGCTTCTGTAAGAAAAATTCAAACCAAGAATCATGTACAGTTCTTGAGTTTTAGTTACTTCTTAAATGCATTAAAAGCCTAGGACGGGATTCTCTGAAGGTCAACACCATGACTACCATCAGAAATAATTGGTCCTATGAGAAATTAGTGAAAAACAGTACGGGAGCACTTGAAAGTGATAATAGAGATGGAAAGGCTTGGAGTTTTGATTTCTTTGGTTTTTAATCTGATATGTATAATTTCTGGACTATCTGATCCAGTAATTTATAAATAAACACTGCTTTCTAAATTTCCTCCAGGTGAATTCAGTAACAGTAGAAATGTATTTTTATGTCACAGGTTTAAATTGTGAGTTGATAACGTGATGAGGGCATAGCTGTAAATTGCATCTGTTACTTACCTACACCTTTTCATTTGTTATAATATAAAGAACAGATGTTTGTTCTATTGCTTGCTTAAACTGGGTAAGATTTAAATGTGTGACTGACTTAAGGTTGGTTTGCTACAATGGGCTGAAATGTCTTATAAGGTAACTTAAAGAGGAAAGGAGAATGCGTCTATATCTTATCTTTTACCTTAAAAAAAGAAGTAAATCGATTCTGGGCACATAAATTGTAATCTTTGAAATGAAGGATATTTGAACAGAGTAAATGCAGGAAGAATTTAATGCAAGCTATTAACATCAATTGTTTACTTTTTTTTTTTTTTTAATGACAGTTGGCTTGAAAATTTATTAAATGTACTTTCACTTCCAGCGATCATTCAGGATATGTTCGCCCTTTGCCAGTGCCTCGTAGTTTAAATAGTGATATCTCATATTTTGGAGTTGGAGGTAAACAAGCAGTGTTCTTCGTAGGGCAGTCTGCCAGAGTAAGTAGATATCAGTCTTTAAAACTTATTTTAAAACATATTTACATGATAAGATTGTTATTATTTTAGCTTTTTATTGTGCCATTAAATTACTTTATTGTTCATTTTTAACCCTTGTTCTGATTTTAAATACTTTTTCTTAATGCAAACAGATGATAAGCAAACCTGCGGATTCTCAGGATGTACATGAACTTGTCCTTTCCAAAGAGGATTTTGAAAAGAAAGAGAGAAACCAAGAAGCAATATATTGTGGATTCATTCGAAACAGAAAGGTAAGTAGCTGTAATGCTTTCTCAGTTTTAAAGGAAAGCATTTTCCTGGCTAACATGACTTTTTGTTACATCAATCTGGGGGGGGTGTGCTTTTATCATTTGCACCACCTGCAGGTTGTAATGTAGAAGGAAGTAATGAGAAATTTGTTTGACAATTTATGGTAGACATGTTTTTGTATGTTCTTTTTTCTCTTTCCACTATGATTTTAAGGACAGAAATTCTGTACAGTTTGACATTGCATCTTACAGAAATATCTAAATATATCTGAAAGCTTGTTTGTTTTGTCATGTGTGAAACATAAAGAAAAATGTCTGCTCTCTGATTTATTATAAAGTAAATTAGGGAAACACTACTTAATACTTCACGTTGTATAGAAATCAGTAGAACTACTGTGCATATGGGGGAAAAACTCCAACTAGTCCAACAAAACCCAGCACTGTCACAGATCTTTGCTAATTTTGTAAAAGAAATTGTCTATTTAGTTGAAAATGGAAATGAAAAGTCCTCATGGCCTACATGAAGAAGTAAAGCTTAAGTAAAAAGTAAGAGAAGGAGGGAAAGAAGTTGTAAGGATTTGCTGCCTTTAAAGAATAATTGCATATTTGAAGCATTGTATTATTAAAGGAAGTTACTTTTGCAAAGAAATTGAGATGAAATTAATATCGTGCTGAAGGTATTCTAGAAAAAAAGGTACAACTCTCTTAAGAGAGATAGTATTGATGGAACACCAGCTGATCATATTTTGATGTATACCAGGCACCTTTCTTAACTACTTATTCTTCCTTCAAGTAAATATGTCTTTTTATCTGAAAGTGATCTTATGAACATAGGGGAATATGCTGTGGTAGTTTGGTGAAAGCTATTTAAATAATCCTGTATGTTAAGGAGATTTCTTTAGTCCATGGAGAAAGTAAGCTTTAACAGAGCACCCTTGACTAACAAATTTTGCTACCTACAGTTAGCTCAGAATTGTATCCTTCCACCTCCTCAGTGACATGTTACTGTTACTCTTGCTTTCCTGGAAAATAAGATACAAAGCTGCATTTACTACAGTGTGAAAAAACTATCAGTTTTCATTTGAAATCGCTACAAAGATCTCAGTTGTATTCAAAGTATCTTCTTTTCTGGATGAAGCAAATGTAAAAGATTATCTCCTGGTGCTGCAAGAAACATTGTATCAACCACTTCATTTCTGTGCAGCTATGAGTAAAGTGCATCCATCCAGGAAAAGACAATCAGAACTTCATTTGTCTGTGATATTTCAGCTGGAACTGATGCTGCACTTTACATTTCACAGCCATAGAGTGTTTCTTCCACATCAAGTTCTGTTTCAAGAAGGAGACTATCCATTTAAAAACTAAGATATTTTTTTTAATGTCATGATGTGCTTTAAAAATACATTTTGTGCATGATTATTCCGTTTGAATTTGATTGAGAATTCACATCTCAGAAGGCTACATTAAGCATGAATGCATTTGTAAACTGAACAATTAAAACACCGTGATGAGTGCATTGAAAATGAACCGGATCAAGGATGTTGGATTCTGAGTTCATTGAATTTAACTTAGGAGCTTTTGTTTTAAGCATTAATCCTTGGTGATTCTTAGCATCATGTGTTCTGCATTCTCTTTCTGTTCTGTTTTCTTTAATCCTTTCAGATGTGAGTACAGAAATTCAGTTTACATTTCTTTTCTTATTTTACTCTTTTTTTTTTTTTTTTTTGTAGCCATCTGACTCTACTCACATCACAAATGATGATGAAAGATTTCTTCATAGTCTAATATTAGAAGAGAGGGATAAAGAGAGTTTCACAGCAGTTATTATTACAGGTGTTCAACCAGATCATATGCAATACTTGAAAAACTACTTTCATCTTTGGACAAGGCAGCTGGCGTAAGTTGGTGTTTTATGTTTGATTTAAAATAAAGCTACTAATAAAATCAGAGAATTATGAGTTACTTTTTGTATTTAATCATTCCATTTTTTGTGTTAAGACTTGATGGATATTTTGTCAATGCCCCAATTAGTCTTACCTGTTTCTTTCTGAAACTAGCACAACTGAGAAAGTTGTCAATCCAAACAGATGTTTATAAACATCAGTACCAGTGTGACTTGATAGTTTTTAAATAGTTATCCATCTAATTATTAGTCTGTTCAGTGCAATTATTACATTATTAGTGCAAGTATTAGTTGTCTGGTTGTGAATAACTTTATAGCTGTCAGAATAGCAAATTAATCTCATAACTTTACTATCTGACCTGCAAAACTGTGATGTTTCAAGGCCATGAGAGCACCTTTTAAATTGTGGAAGGGGTGCAGAGAAACTGCTGAGCAGTGTGGGCACACCAGTCTGCTCTAAAGTCCTGAGCAGTGAGAGTACAAGGAGCTTTGGTCTGAAAGCCAAGATCTCTTCGGATGAGGATGCATTTAGTGGGGTGGATGTCAGAAGCAAGGAGATGTAACAAGATGTAACACTTGCAGGTGCATTTATTTTCCTTGATGCATTCAGTCTGTACCAGGTATACTTGTTCATTGAGTTGAATAGAGTCAATAATAAGATAATAAAAAGAAGCAGAACATTTTAATCTATAATGTTCAATTTTTCTAATTTCAATTTTTTATAACATATATTTTCATTGAAAATGTATTTCAGGCATATCTATCACTATTATATTCATGGACCAAAAGGAAATGAAACTAAAGCTGTGACAAAAGGTGTAAGCCCTTTCAACAACATTGACATTGAGGTAAGAAATTTCATGTCTATCTTTAAAAATTCTTCTTTTGTGACAACTTGTTAAATATTGTGCCTGTTTCTCTTTATTTTGAACTATAGTAATCTTTCAAGATACACGTGCAATATAATTCTTTTGAAACAGTGTTACTGCAATGCATTAACTAATTTATTTTGCTAATGTAGTTAACACAAGTGTCAGAAATTCTTATTACTGTGGGTGTTTGGTTTAAGGAAAATTTACTTGCTTTGTTTTTTTTTTCTAGATTTCTATGTTTGAAAAAGGAAAAGTACCAAAAATTATCAATCTTAGAGAGATAAAAGATGATATGCAGACACTGTATATAAATACTGCAGCAGATAGTTTCGAGTTTAAAGCACTTGTTGATGGAGATGGTATAGTGGAAGGAATAATCCGATACCATCCTTTCCTGTATGATAAAGAAACATTCCCTGACGATCCATGTTTTCCAAGTGAGTATAATGCTTACTGATGACAAGGTTATCTACTGCAGACAATCCTACTACTCTGAGTGTTTTAATGAAAAAGAAACATTTAAATTGAAGCATCAATTCTGTGATAGAACAGAAAACTGTACCTGCCATCGTTGGCTGATGTGGTAACTTGTACATGCAAATATTGATCTTTCACGTAGCTCCCTCTGCTGTTAAATTACAAACAGAAAATGAAATCTGTTTGAAACATTTCCACTTTCCTAACTATTAGATCTTTGCTATGAGCACGCCGATTCAGGACACATTAGTACCAGAATACTGCAGTGAACAACATATAAAATAAGTCCTAAATATAAGATTTGTTTTATCCAGTCTTGATTTCAGATACTAAGTGTTGGAAAAAAAAAAAAAAAAAAAAATCACCACCATGTGAAATTATTTTAACAAAATAAATTATGAGTTTAATAGCGATGAGATTTTACAATACTAGAAAAACAAGACATTACAGTAAGTGGTGGTAAAGTATTATTTATTCAAATTGTACTTGAAATTTTGAACTATCCATCCCCTCTTTAAAATTTTCCTTACACTTTCTATTTGGTATTTCTTAAAGAGAAATCTGACATCCAACTTGGTATCATACACTGCTATGTGTCTAATGTAAAAAGTGTAGATAATCCTTAACTGCTGTGTTGTTTGATATTATAATGGTTTTCTAAGGATGTTATTCATATGTACTATTCTAAATCAAGGATTAAATGATGATGATGATGATGACGATGACTGCCTAATAATAGAAAAGGGTGCCAGAGGAAAAAGGCCTATTTTCGAATGTTTTTGGAATGGAAGATTAATTCCTTACACGACTGTGGAAGAGTAAGTGGTAATCAGTTTCTTCAGTGTAGACTAATCTTTTTCGAGAATGTAAACACCTTTATTTGTATAGAAAAGGATTTTAATGTCCGTCTTTTTTTCTTTTTAAGTTTTGACTGGTGTGCTCCTCCAAAGAAGAGAGGATTGGCACCAATTGAATGCTACAACAGGATTTCTGGTACATTGTTTACCAATGATAAGTTTCAAGTCAGCACAAACAAACTCACTTTCATGGATCTAGAGCTGAAGTTAAAAGACAAGAATACACTGTTTACAAGAATTTTCAATGGACAGGTGATTATTTGAATCTGTATTATTGCTTGTCACGATCTATGTTGTGACAGTCTGTATTGTCACTTGTTCATGTCACTGATTATTTTTCTGTTTCTAAAGAATTTTAGCCTTAGACACTCCTGCAGAGCTTTGTGGCAGATGCTTTTCTCAGTTACAGTGTGTAGCGAAGCTGACTCTTTAAATTTGAAAACATAAGATTTAGTCTTTTATTTCTTTATCAACAATGTTATTTAGTTACTAGAAGTTTTTGTGGGAAGACTGTCATAGAAGGTATATAAGCACTAAGGAAACACCTTCTCTATCATAGAAGTGATAAAAGCATAGCTGCCTAGAAGTATTGTAGCATTAACAGGCTGAAGAATCTAGTTTTTTGAGTAGAATCTAGTTTTTTGAGTACAGTATCACTGTACTCCTCAAATTGTTCATACTTTGGAGTTTGTCAGATTTAAATGTAAGAATATATTAATTATACGTATTGCTTTTGTAATCTGTTTATAGGAGCAACGAATGAAAATTGATAGAGAATTTGCTTTGTGGCTCAAAGATTGTCATGAGAAATATGACAAACAGATAAAATTCACAGTCTTTAAAGGAATAACTACACGTACTGATTTGCCATCCAAAAGAATGCAGAGCCCTTGGGCCATGTATTCCTCAATAGAGTGGGATGGGAAAACATTCAAAACTGGGCAGCTGGTAAGTTATTTTCTCACTCATGTAATTTTTTTTAGTTGTTTGAACCCTATAAAAGGCAGATACAATACTCTTGATGCAGAATAAATGTATTGAATGTAGTTGTTATCTTCTCTTTGCAGGTGAAAACCATTAAGACTCTTCCAATATTCTATGGAAGTATTGAGAAATTTTTTTTGTATGGAGACCATGATGGGGATATATTTGCCACTGGTGGAGAGGTTCAGATTGCTTTGGTAAGACAGCTGTGTAAAGGATTCTCATGTCTGGTATACTTACGGAGTTTGTAGTCTTAATCATGGATCAGACTTCCTTTTAAGATTTGTTTTATTTTCTTTTGTTTTTCTTTTGTTTTTCCAAAAACTTTTGAAAATTCTAAATTTTAGCACAGTGGTCAGTGGAGTCATCAAGAAGTATTTGATAGTGTTTTGTATTATGCTTATATTTATCTCTCTGGTCCCTTGATAGAGAAATTTTTCTCTCTAACGTATTATAATCTGTTTTTAACTAGATGTAATTTTTTTTCCAGGAACCTCAGGCGTTGTATGCTGAAATGAAAACTGTTCCAATCTCAAAACTAGACAGAACAGTGTCTGACAAAGCTGTTAAAAAATATATAGAGGATGAAATGGCAAGGTAAGCTTTGAACTGTGTTGACTTGCTTGTGCAGTTCATACTAAGAGTTTTAGTATTTTTTAAGCATCACAAAAATACAGTTAGATTTATTCCAAGTGGAAGGAGACTATCAAACTTTTTTTTTCCCCAAAACAGAGCTTCATATACATTCTGTTCTTTCTGTCTTTCATTAGACTTCCAGACAAATTGTCAGTAACTTGGCCTGAAGGAGATGAGTTGTTGCCAAATGAAACAAGGTTGGCTGGTACACCAATAGGTATAGTTGTTTTCCTTTCTGAATACTAAAAATACCATTTAATTTGTGTTAGAAACAAACGTACAGAAAATTCCAGTGACTTGTAGGGGGAGCATGCTTTAAAAATCCTTCATTTGTTCCTTTTAAATATAGGGGCATTAAGAATAGAAATTCTGAACAAAAAAGGAGAAGCAATGCAAAAGCTTCCAGGTACCAGCCATGGAGGTTCAAAGAAACTTCTTGTTGAACTCAAAGTTATTTTACATTGTAAGTACTTGAGCCTATTTTAATTAGCCTTTATTGTTTAAAAGTGCATGAAGTATATTTGCTTGTGTATATACATATAATACCTATTGGAGTTTGGTAGACAAACACAGCTTTTAATTTGAAGGACGGTATCCCATCAGAGATTCATGTAGCAATCCTAAGCCACGTTGCACAAAATGACCATTGCCTCAAAGCCAGATATTTAATGTCTGAGTGTTGCATAGAAGTAGAGACCAGGCTTGTTTAGTGCATAACAATGTTAACTTGAACGTCACTTGCAAATTTGAAGTATAAAAAACTTAGAGTTGTTTCCTCTTTCAGAGCAAATCAGAATATAGCACTCCTGCCTTAAAAGCTCAGGTCTTCTCACTAGCTCTCTTTCAAGAACCCATCATTTTTGTTGTCATCTTTTGTGCATCGGTATGCACAGAATATTATACTTCTTCACAGTAGAAGTGAAGAAATTTACCCTGTATGTAAATTTGCCCCTTGGATTATGGATCTACAGTGGGACAGTAGAAGAAGAAAGGTGAGCATCTTCAAAGTGTGCATCTTGCATAATGCATAAACACTTTGTTTAGCTTGATGGCAGCTGACACTGCAGTATGAAATCTGCACTTGAGAAATTCTCTTTTTTCAGTGTTAATGACTGCCACAGTTGAAAATCTGTACAAATATTGTTACAAATCTTAAATATATGTAAAAAAAACCCTCTAAATTCTCTTACTGAAAAAAAAAAAAAAAATCAGAGCTTTTTCTAAAACCTAATCTTCCAGAATTACACATTCAAAGAAAGACATCTAAGAGAGCAGGTAGCTGTTGCTTTGTGTTATGTATACAAACTGATAGAAGAACAGGATGTGAAACAGTTATTTGCACTTACCTACAGAATCGAATATACCTTTTAGCTACATTTCTTTTTATTCGGTATAGTCTTGTTGTAGTTGCCTTCTATATTTATTCTAAATTATATTTGAAAAGCAAATACATTATTGCTTCTTGAGAAGTTTTTAACGTTACTCCTGCATATCTTTGAGGCTCTAGCATCAGTTGTTAAGTTTTGCCTCTGAGTTTCATTATTTTAATTCTTGGCTGTGCATTCATGCTGCAGATATGTCTATAAAGAAGATAAAATAATTTGATGCAAAAAAACAAATGTTTTTATCTTCCTCAAATATACTTCCAGTCAACTTATTTTTAGCATTACTCCCATTTGAGGTACTTAATCATTTGTAAAGTTGATCAGTTTTAGTATGGATGGATGGCACAGCCTTTAAGTACTTAACAGGGAGCGTATAACAAGAGAGTTAATAAAATGCAAGTTTACAAACCTGTTACTTCCATTTAATGTGTCTCAAGTTTCGAATTAAAATAGGATTAGATGTGGAATTAGATTTTCTAATTATTTTTTTTTTAAGATGTGATTAATGTGATTTATTGTGAAGCTGAATTTATGTTTCTTAGATTTAATAGTGATGTGTTTTTATGTGATGGAGAATTATGTGTAATCTGCAAATATGTGTAGCTAAGTGTTTATTTTTCAGCACCTGCTGGGAATAAAGAAATAATTTCTCATATAAGTCAGCATGGAGGAAAATGGCCATACTGGTTTAAAAAAATGGGTAAGTTAATAGTTACAATGTTTTCAGCTTATTTATAATTCTCCTTTTTTTCCTTTATAAACTTATTTTGATTTTCTTTTAGAGAATCTTCAGAAACTTGGGAACTATACTTTGAAGCTGCAGGTAGTCTTAAACGAAAGTAATGCAGACACTTACGCAGGAAGGCCTCTGCCATCTAAAACATTTAAATTTACTATTGTAGGTAAGAAATTTCAGCCACGCCAGTTTTCTTTTACTTTTTGTGTTTGTTTAGTATTTTATGTATCCAAGTTATTTATGTTTTAGTCGAGAGAGGTAATTGCTTTAAGGTTGTAACTTCTCTCCAGAAATTTAAATAAATAAATAAAGAAAGAAAATCATAAAGGAGTATACTACCTCTAACTAACATTTCATAGGATTTAAAGCAATTTTCTATACTTTTGATTCCTTTAGTTCATCTTAAGTAGTATCTTCTGTTATTTTCTTGCTAAATTAAATTTAACTTGCAAAAAATCATTAACTCTGTATTGTTCATCCCGTTTAATCCTATCATGAAGACCTATTCTGTTTTATATATATGTGTTTGTGTGTATATGCATATATATACACACAGTGCTTACATACAAATGTAATCAAAACATCAGCAATATACATACATGAAAAAGACAGATCTTCCCTTGGTTTGGGCTGTCCAATTTGCAAGGAAAAATTTTCCTCAATTCTTTTGCCATGCAGCAATTTTGTTTCCTTTTTCTGAGGTGGTAAAAACCAATGTGAATTTAAACTTAGGAAAGAGATGGGGGGGGAGAGAGTTAACAGTATCCCTGTGAGGAGCTGTTAACCAGGATTGACAAAGCAAAGGGCCTGGAACAATATGACAAAAAAGGAATCACAAGGTCTACAAAATGGAGCTTAAGCAGGCTGTGACCTCCCTCATATGCATGTAAGCTCCTATGGAGTACACTAGTGGACAAATCCCCAAATGCTTTCTGGGAAATCAGCATCCTGAGGTGCCAAGAAAAAGGAAAAACTTTCTCTAAATGAATACAGAATTATTTATCACTATTTATTAAAACAAAAAGCAAATAGTAAAAGTTGCAGAACTACATTCTTATTTTAAAAAATATTTTTTGATGGTATTGTGGCTTCCCACAGCACAGCAGCCTGTGGTTAATGGTAACTTCAGTCATAAAAAAAAAAATTAAATGAACAGATCTCGTTGGAAACAAATATAAACTCTAAAAATCTGAAAACTTAATAAGTTAGTACTTCTTATATAAGAGATATAAAAAGCAAGTATTGGCTATCTGAATTTAGTTTTTTAACTTGTTATTGAGATTACTTGAACTTTTTCATATCTTCTATCTTGAGAAGCGACTATTTGAAGTTATTATTTTTGGCCTTGTTTTCTGTTGTTTCAAAGCAACCATAAATTCTCCAAATACTTATTTGAAAAACTAATTTTTATGTAACCTTATGTGTGTGTAGCTTCTGAAAATTCAGACCAGAAGAATTAAAATGTGAATAGAAATCACCAGCTCTTTGAAAGTATTTTATTTAACAGTAAGGTGTTTTTCATTGATTACATTTCTTCCTGCTAGGCTTAAAAGCTAAAAGTAGTCAAAAATACTCTTAAAACTGAACTACTTAAGTTAATCTGTAGGTTTTGCTTTCTTAATTCAGCACGTGTTCTTTTGCTAATTAATCACACCGACAATACAGAAGTTCTTTTACTGTTTTTCTGTCAAAGCATTTTATGGTTTTATCATATGGTTCTAAATTTTATTGAAATTCTAAATAATATGGAAATGTTGAAGTCTCTTAGTTACTGTTACTGTTCAAGTAGCTTTGGCCAATACGTATTTTCCCTTCCCTTGTGATTTTTCTCTTATCTGATGCGAAATACATTTGCTGATAACTTAATCTGTAGGTAGTGATAGTTATGTATTTGACAGGATATTAATGAACAGTCTAGCACTGCACTGTATTGCTTCTTTTTTCAGAAGCCAAGAAAGTTAGTTTCCACAAAACATTCCTGATTCCCAGGCTCCCTTCTGTACTGCTCAGTGCAAATGGTGTCAGAAACTTCAAAATGCAACTATTAAATGTGCATGTTTGGTCTTGGAGTGCTTAATCATAGACAATATCACAGTGCCATATTTCGCAGAAAAGGTGCTCAGGATTCTTTTTCAAATAATGCTGACTCATCTTCATCTCTCAAATTTGGTGTAGCTGTAGGACAAAATTTTTTTTTTGCATAAATGAGTTTCACAACTAAAGGAAAATTATAAACAATGATTTTATTTACAGCAATATTTCTAAATAGCTTATTTACTTTGAGGCTGAAAACCACATGTTTTAACTGCAGCATTAATTAAGAAAAAGCCCATGAACATACATAATTACTTCTAAAAATGTATTGTTATTTTCTCTTAGAGGGCAAAGCAGAGAAATTTTCAGTGGGTCTTTTGGAGCTTCCTTTTCGGGTTGGAGTACCTTTTAATATTCCTTTGGAATTGCAGGATGAGTTTGGTCATGCAACGCAGTTGACAAATGAGATAAAACCAATTCTTGAAGCTAGGTAATTCAATTGTCTCATCATCCTTTTTTGATGGTTTGGGTTTGGAATTTTTTTAGGGGTGGGGAGCGTTTTATATTTCTGTTGTACTTCTTGTAAACATTATAGCAATTTTTTGTGTTTTGTCTGAGTGATGTATACTTGTAACATTAGTTGGCTGTTATTTTTGTTGTTATTGCCATAAGGATATCTGCAAGTATCTAGTATATATATTAGTGGAAAATCTTATTGAAGAATTCAAACACTCTATTCATTTTTTAAATTGGTTCTGCTTTTTTCTGTTTGTTTTTTTTTGTTTTGTTTTGTTTTTTGTTTCTTTTTGTCGTTATTGTTGTTTCTTTTTTTAGTGGATTGACTTTGCAATATGAAGAGTTAACTGCAGGAGCAAATTGCATCATTAAGGGTGTCACTGCTAAAGGCTGTGTAAATAGTTGCCAGGGCAAGGTATGCTAATGAATTCAAACTTGAAGTATTGTTTTTAAGAAACCAGTTGCAACTGCTCTTTCTTTGGATATTTTCTCATGATTTCTTATGGCTGTACCCACAGCTTTGCTCTACTGGTGGCACTGCCTTAGGGGTGGGCAATCACACTGCATTTGTGGTAGAGTGTACTCAAAATACTAATTCAACTGTCTTAGTTCAAACTTATACTGAAATTGATTTAAAATATTGCTGCAAGGAATCGGCCTAGGCCTCCTTTTGCTTCTCTTCCTTGGCAGGCCAAAAAAAATTGCCCAATAGCTTTCTTTCAAGCAACAGGCTGTTAATGTTACAAATTGTTACTAGGCACATGAAAGACATAGACCAGGTTTATGAAACTAAAACCGAACAGCAACAGTGTTTCTGAACTTGAAAGAATGGTGCTTCATGAGTTGCAACAAAATGTTCTCAATTTTATAATACATGAAAATTTTGTATTTGCAGTGCAACCAGTTTTAAATGAGTGCTTTCAAGACTGTTGAGCAGACCATTTCATTTTCTAGCTGTCTTGTGAATATGAATTTTAGGGATGGAATTCTGCAGCAGGAGTTGTGTTTCTAATGGTCTTATTCAAATGTGAGATGGATTGCAAATGTGGTGCCTTTCTACTGGCAATCAGCTAAAGAATAGTGAACGCAGAGCTTGCAGATCTGTTCTTTAAGCCTACTTTTTTTTTTTTTTTTTTTTTTTTTAATGCTTTTATCTACCACAACGTGGTATGTAGACAAAATGCTTTTGTCTACAACAACAAAAACCACAATGTATGGTAGCATGAGAACCTTGTAGTTTATCTTGCAAACCCTGGATTTCACATCTCTGGGAGTAATAACGTGACAAAACAGATTCTAGTGCAGTGGATAAGTCTTGATTTATGTAACAGTGCAAAAAAATTTGTGTAGATCTCTGAAATTAACGTTTATATGGATTAACATCATTTTATGAAATAGTTTATGATCTGATTTTGTTTATGGTTAATACTAAAAATATTCTTTTCATTAGAACTTTAATCTGAAGGTTACTCTTCCTGGATTGAAAGAAGACACACAAATTTTTAAAATAAGATTGCAGCCTGGTAAGAATCCTTTACCTATTTGGTGAATTTGTGTTGAACTTTATTCTGAAACTATTAATAAAATGTTTCTTCTCACAAGGAGTTAAGTATTTAATAAGGCATTCAATGAGAATATTTTGACTCATTGAAGTGATTGCTGAAATTAAATGAAGCTAAGAGCATGTTAATCTTGGCAGCCCAGTTTTGTCCATTGTTCTGGTAGCTGAAATTTACCTGTTGAGATTAACTTTTTTAGTATGTTTTTATAACTTAGCCCCTCTGAATGAATAAGATTATATTTTTTTCTTCTCAATCTTCTTCATCGTTCACAAGTTCACAAGCCTGTTAAATTGTGCTAACTTGCACTGACCTGCTGTCTCTGTAGAGGTCATGTTGTGAATTAGTAAATTCTCATGCAGTTTCTTACCCCAACAAAGGAAGGGGATGCTTTTGCAGTCGGGATTTAGTTCGAGATCTTTCGTGTTACACATTGACTTTATGGTAACACAGGAGAGGAATATTGAGCTCTGTAGCTCCACCACCCTTACCAGATTTATTGTTCTGTGGATGGCTTTGATACTGAAGATTTCTGTACGTCATTACAGTTATCCGTTTTAACCTGCTTTTGTGGCTGTTGATTTTTTTTTTTTACTGTTAGTTTTTGCTTTTTAATTCATATACAGTAGTTTGAAGGTTCATTTTTGACCTTTCTATTTATTGCTTATTTTTTATTTTTCTTATTACCTTTCTTATTTTCTTGAGAATATGTGTATTTCAAGCTTTGTTAGACCAACAAGGCACAGTTTGTTCCATTATTCATTATTACTTGGTCCGTTAAGGCTTCATGTAGAAACAGTCACTTGGAGCAAACTGGCTTGAGATAGATTGTATTGCTTAATTGTTTACGTTAGGCTGAAGGCACCTCCATTCCTTATGAGAAGCTTCTGCTTTTGTCAGTCTAGACATACAAAAATCTATGACCTCTTTCTCTTATTTTAAAATTGGTAAGACTAATTGTGTGTTCATGGGATAGATCTCTTTTAATAGCTTCACTTTACTATTGAAGTAATGCCATAAAAATCTGCTATGCTTTTCTTTACATGTAAGTTGTAGCTCTGATGGCTTTCGTAACGAAACTGCTGCGTGTTATGATTGTTCACGTAGCTCAACATGAATATCTTTGTTTTTCACGTCAGGAGAAAGTTTCAAGTTCTTTTTAAGAATGTCATTTGGTATAGTATGTAGACAGCACTGCACTGTCTTTACACCTTGCATGTGTTGAAGCTCATCTTTTCCCAAAGAGTGGCAGGTGATACATATTAACGGACAGACAGCATCAAGAAGCTTTTTGGCTTATTATCATAGATATCTTGGTATCTTTTGGTATCTTGGCTTTAAAATGCTTTTCAAGATAGCAAAAACTGAGTCTAGTGGGTTATCTAAAGTATAACCACTGTTCTACAATTGTTCTTTTTACAGGCCCTCCGTATCAATTGAAAGTAAAACCAGATTCTGAAATTCTTAAGATTGAAAATGGTACAGCCTTCCCCTTTCAGGTTGAAGTGTTGGATGAATCAGGCAATATAACAGCACAGCCAAAACTGATAGTTCATTGCAAGGTAAATTGTATTTTATAGTATTTCGTAAGGATTTGATACTTTAAAAGGACTAGGAAAGGAACCTACTTTGACATATGGACAGAATTAACGTCTTGAATAGTGCTTTAGGAATGTCTATAGCCTTATGGCCCCACCAGTGGCTTCCTTGCGTCATCCATTTTGATTCATTCAGCAAGTTTCAAGATTATAGGAACCTGGACATAAAAATGAAAGAGAAAAATGATGTGATGATATATAACTATGATTTTAAGATGCTTTAGATCATGTTTTCCATATACAATGCTCAAATACATTTTGGGAGGAAAAAAAAAACTTCAGACAATATACTTCTAATTTGCTTAAATATGAAAATGCAAGTTTGCTACTAATGCAAGCTTGCTGCCTATGGAATAGTGATAACATAATAATTGTAAACATTTAAACTAGTAAGGAAATGTGCACATTGCTGTGCTTTTATAGATCTAAGTGTTTTGGACAGAAGAGTTTTTATTGTTTGTTTGATTTTTAGCTCAGAAAAGTAACTTTTTTAATTACAGTGAAATCAGTCATCCAGCATGGACAGATAAACCATAAATATGATTTTCACAGAGTACAGTCTTCTTTCCTTTTCTACTTTATAAGCATACATGCTGTTCCTTTAAAGTGGGTCTGCAGTAGTGTGGTGACAGATTAAACAGACTTTTAAGTATCACATCTAACACTTGGGTGGTTTGTGTTTTTTCTTTTTAGAAAACTTATCAACTTTATTAACTAAATGCACGTTTTGCCTGAATGGATAAAAGAGGCTAGTGTGTATTTGTATAAAGTATAAAGGAATGGTATAGATAGTAAATTTTTCTTTTGTTCCTTTCTCTCATACACCTCTTATCACTGAGAAAAAAAAAAAAAAACTTTTTTCATTACTTTTTGTGATTTGATGAAAACTAAAAAAAAAAAAAATCTGCAAATAATCATATGTAGCTCTGGAGTTGCACAAACAAATCATTTTCTGGAATAATTCTTCTAGTTCTGCAAAAGGAACCTGAAGTTTAATTGTATGTTTTAAATAGTTTTTAGGTGCTTCAAACCTACCTGTGTATTCTGTGGACTGCAGTAATGCAGGAACAAACATTTTAACTGGCCCAGTCATACACGTACTGAATATAAAGAAAGATCAGATGCTCAAAGCAAGGATTGAAATACCTGTAAGTATTGATCAGGACATTTGGATGAGCAAAAGACTGGAAAGTATTTACTATATTGTCTTGCTTTTAAACCAAAGTTTTATAAACTAACTTAGCTTCTAAAAGCCACTATTTTAATTCCATAAGTCTGAGAATCATATCTGTCCTTTTTCATCTCTAGTAAGCCTTAAAAAGGCAAAGCAATTCCATTTTTCTTCATCTCTCACACTTAGTATTTCAGAACTAAGCATTATTTCTGGGAGTTTAATCGCTGATTCCTTCTGTGAAATTACCTTTGTTGCATGAACATTTAGAGCCAGAAGAAGCACAATAAAATGTTTCCCAAACCTTAAAGAAAATGATATTGCATATATTTTTTCTGAAGGTTAGAAATGAATATTTCAGTCTTTAAGCTTGTTGGTCTAGATGTTGTTCGGTTTGTTTTTTTTTTTGTTTGTTTGTTTTTTATGTTATTGATTATCCCTGCTCTCTGGTAATCAGGAGAGCCACACAGCAGAAGAAAATAAGACTTTCAGCATTTTACTTTGAAAATGGTGTAAACAAATAGTAATGTGGTAAGATAATGTACATGGCATGTTTTTTTGGATTAGTCTTAAATAAATATTTTGTAAATTGTTCAAAAAATACTGTAATATATGTAAAGCATTTTCTAAGCAGCATCAGTTCCAGTTCTGGCATCTTCTTTTTATTCGCTTTTGACAAGTTAAGCTAACTTTGTATTTGGACAGCTGTTCTCACTTAATAATCTGGAGTAATGCCATAGATTTATTATGAAGGAAATATTTATTAATTTATATATATTTGATATCTTCATGACATTTGTCTCTTTTTCCCTTCCATCCCATGTTTAGAGTTGTAAAGATGTGCCACCAGTGGAAAAGATGATTAAACTTCTTCCAAGCAGTCACGTTGCAAGACTGCAGGTCTTAAGTATGAATGGACAAAAAGCTATTCAAATTAAACATCAGGATGAAATCAACTGGGTTGCTGGAGATACTATGCACAACCTTATATTTCAGATGTATGATGAAGGAGAAAGGGAGATACATATAACTTCAGCTATGGCAGAAAAAATTAAGGCAGGTATTTTTGAAGAAACAGTATATAACGTGGGAATTATCTAGTGCTTCTCTAAAATCCATGAGCATCAGAGTATCATTCCAAATAATATTCCTCAAGACTGTATTATTGGGAACTTTAATATCTGCTTAAGGAATTCATGAAAAAATGATTTTATTAATATTGTGTTGTTAACGAGATCAAGACATTTAATGTAGTGCAGAATAATGCTTAGGATAGCATTATGAAAAAAGGTGGTTTCCAGCTCTCAGTCTGGAAAGAAAGTAAGTCAGTAATAAAATTCTAACTTTAAGATCTGAGTTTTTCCCAGCTTTAGGAATATTGAATAGACACTCTTTTCATGAAGATTTTGTTTGTCTGTCTGTGTATGTACATGGACCCTAATATAAAGATAGAGCTTCACCATGTATGTGACTTTTTGGTAAGGTTTTTCTGAATCAGATCTTTCTTAACTCAGGAAGGTGCAGTGAGAGAAGCTTATTTTATATTGAGAGTAATTTGCATCTTTGGCCAGAGAGCTCTGGCTTATCTTTTAAAAGGCATTACCTCTATTCAGCATGTTTAGAATGACTTCAGTTGTAATAATTTGCTGGTCATTAATAATTTAATTTCTGATTCATTTAAACAATTACAATTTTAGGTTAACTGGACACCCAAAATTAACAGAGAACAGTTGATGCAGGGATTGTTACCTGATGTGAAAGTACCAACATCAGTGAAAGATGTACGGTACTGTCTAATAAGTTACCTTGATGGCCATGTGTCTTTGGAGAGTGCGTTTACAATCAGGTTTGTATGTCAAAATGCATTTTGTGAATTATTATGTCAGGAACGGGTTATAGATCTGTTCTATTGGATATAAAAATCTTTCTGTGGAAGCTGAAGTAATGAAATCTGGTATCAGGAGAGTGTTAAAGCAAAAATGTTCACAAATGAGAACATTTGAACGATAAGAACTATGTGAAGGTTTCCACTGCAATCTGTTTATGCCAGTCCTGATCACTTTTTAAAGTATTTGTATTTATACTGAAGGAGATAAAAGTTTTTGAAGACACCAACAATCAAGTGCTAGCTTATAGGATTTTTTCAAAGTCATGTTGATGTTAACTAAATCACTGTAGAGCGCATTGTTACCATTGCTGTTTTGTATCCAAAGATTTATCTAGCCTAGCAGTAGATACCTGTATCAGGTGTCTTGGTCAAAAGTGACAAACTGTAAGTCAAACTTTAAAATCACCTGTTTATCACTTATTGAGTCTCAACAGCTAGCTTTGCTTACCGTATAGTTTGTTGAGATGGATCTGATTTTTTAAGAATTCAGAGCTTAAAGCTTGTAAACTGATGTCTTTGATGCTTCACTGTTAGAAGCAGATAAAGTTTCATTAAAGTTATACTTTTTGCTTTCTTATATGAAGAACAGAAAAGCAGTCTGAATTGATACTTGTCTTGCAAGGAAGTAGAGCAGTGGATTGTTTAATTTTCTTATACGTTTTTGCTTGTTGGGGGAAGGCAGTCTCAGATTAGGGAACTGTTCTTCAGGGCTTATTTTCTTGTAGTTGTACAAATTAACGGGGGGTAATTCTAGTATGATTTTTAAATGTCTCAAATTTTGTAAAAAACATTATGTTATTGTTTGAATAAGTTAATTCTCACATAATTTAGTTGTTGGATGACGCTAGTTCTGAGGGAGCCAGCTCATAACTTCTGTTAACCTTCATTAAATAAACCAACAAAAAGGCTAGGACTGTTCAAAAAGCACCCCAGAAAGTATTTTGAAGAGACTGTTTTATAATGTGCTCTGGCTAAAAAATTTAAAACGATGTTAGCTGTAATCAAATCCTGAAGAAATTCTGCATGTGTTTTCATAGCAAGACTTTGATACCTTTGCAAGTACGTGTATATAATGTACATGTGTATTACATGCACATACATATACATGTATGTGTATGTAATAATGTGTATTAACATTCATATGTATATTAATATATACATATATAAATATACATATGAATGTTAATATATAGACAATTGTATGTTACCTCGGGGATGTGCTTTACTTGTAAAATCTTACTTGTGGTAAAATGCTGGTAGGCAAGCTGTTACAAATAAGATGCTGTCTTTTGTTCTGTTAGGAGTCTTTTGTAGCCTGCACCTGATAAACTTGAGGTAAAAGCTGCTATGTAAGCTTTATGCGCATCAGATATGGTGCTCTAATACATGGAAGGGTAAATTTAAACAAAACCAAAAAAAGCCCTCCAATCACAAGTGGATGGTTACTGCTGCATTCTTTGTTCTGTGTTCTAGTGTGATTAGCTTGATGAAAATGATTATGAATACATTTTCTTGTGCTAACTTAGGCCACTTCCTGATGAACCCAAACACATTAAATGCAAATTAGAAGGGTCAAACACACTCCAGTTGGGGGAAGATCTACAAGGTGAAATTGGTGAGTATTTACATATTCTTCACTTTACTGTAAAATACGTTTCTATTTCCTTGCCAAGTGCAAGATCCTGAACCTGGGCCATGGCAATCCCAAGCACAAATACAGACTGGGCAGAGAATGGCTTGAGAGCAGTCCCAATGAGAAGGATTTGGTGGTTGGTGAGAGACTTGACTCAAGCCAGCAATGTGCACTTGCAGCCCAGAAGGCCAACCTTATCCTGGACAGCATCAAGAAAAGCATGACCGACAAGCAGGTCAAGGGAGGTGATTCTGCCCCTCTGCTTTGCTCTTGTGAGATCCCACCTGAAGTCCAGTTCTGTGGCCCACAACACACGAAGGACATGGAGCTGTTGGTGTGGGTCCAGAGGAGGGCCATGAAGATGATCAGAGGGCTGGAGCACCTTCATGGGGACTGGCTGAGAGATCTGGGGCTGTTCAGCCTGGAGAAGGGAAGGCTCTAGGGTCAGTCTTTCAGTACTTGAAGGAGGCCTACAGGAAAGCTGGGAAGGGACTTTCTATACGGTCGTGCAGGATGAGGAGAAATGGCTTTAAACTGAAATTGGGTATATTTGGACTAGATATTAGGATAAAATTCTTTACTGAGAACTGATGAGATGCTAGAACAGATTGCCTGGAGCAGCTGTGGATGCCCCCTCCCTGGAAGCATTCAAGGTCAGGCTGGATGGAGCTGTGAGCAATCTGGTCTAGAGGGATGTGTCCCTCCCTATAGCAGGGGGGTTGGAACCAGATGATCTTAAAGGTCCCTTCCAACCCAAATCATTCTACGATTCTAAAACCTTGAAGGCTAAAATAGCAGTCAGATTATTTCAGAGGCATGGCCTTCAAAATGAAGTATTTTAAAGTTAACAGCTTAACCTAAGAAAAGTACAATGTTAAGGGATCAGTCTTATTGTTCTTTGGTTTTTCCACATGGCTGCTCCAGACTTTGTGAACATAAGAAACGTTTAGATGCTTCAATACTGGCTTTTTATTTTGTTGGTTTTTACTTTTATTTATTTTGGTGCTTGTGCTGTTGGTGAAAAATGACTGGTATCTTTTTTCTTCTTCAGGTAGTGTGCAGTGCTTTAACAGTGTGTCAATTACTTCTAATAAACATAAGACATTTTAAATAACTTCTAGGGATAAAGAATTAGTATATTTCTGTAGGATATTAAAAGGTTGTTTTTGAGCACGTATAAGCACATAGAAACTCTCAACAGGCTCAAAATTGATTTTCAATTTAAAGAATTTTTTTTAACTTTATAGTGAGAAGCAAATTTGCTCAAAAAGGAAGTGGGAAGCACAAATATTTGTGTAGCATGACTAGGTAGATCTATTTTTTTGTACTAAACTTTGATGTGAAGAGTGGAGGCATTATCAGCATACATATGTAAGATGTCAGCATTGCCCAGTGACAGGACAAGAAGGAATGTGCACAGCTGCCCAGAAACTGTGGCATCTCCACCTTGAAAATCTTCAGAAGCCACTTGGCCATGGGGCCAAGCACTCTGCTCTGGGTGGCCCTATTAGAGCACAGGTTGGGCCAGAGAGCCCTGCCCACCTCTGCCGTTCTGTGAGTCTGTGATAGTCATGTAAGTTTTCTGTGTATCACATGTGTGCATTGTGTACATTTACATTCTGTATGTTGCATAGTGTTTCATTAAAGCAGCTGCCAAAGTTGTAATAAATTATGCTCTTTTTAATAGATGTAATGATCACAGATCAGTATGGAAATCAGGTTCAAACAGTGACATCTGCATGTACAGGTTACCTAGGAGTTGCAGGGCCTGGACTTGATAAATCAAATTTGCAAATAACTTGGCAGGTAAGTAAGATACTACATAATTTATTTCTGTACAGCCTATATGAGGTAATTTCTCTTAATTCTTTCTGTCAAAATTGCACCAAAATTGTGTAAAGACAGTGAAATTAAATGCTATGTGGTAAGCATTATAAAGATAATATTAAACTTTTATGATCCCATTCTAAGGAACAGAGTGGCATGTGTTAAAAACCTTATCACTCTTGCCGCTATACAACATGATAATCAGGTCACTTAAAGCTGGACTTAGGTTTGCTTTTGTTTCCAGTCCATTGCTTTATACCTTTTCTTCTTTGTAGTCTTTTGTGGCTTTTTTTGTTGGTGGTTATGTAAGTTTTGTTGTTTGGTATTTTTGTTGTTGTTGTTTTGTTGTTGTTTTTTTTAAATGGTGGCTTAATTGATTTTACAATCCTTTGAAGAATTAACTATATTCTCTGCCACAGCTGAATTTAAAATGTTCTCTGTACCTTTTAAAATGCTAAATATAACTGAATTATACATAATTTTTGCATTGAAAAGCAGGCCCCTGAGAAATGCTTGAGTTTGAAAATTATAATTTCTGACCTAAGAAGTCCACTTAAATACAAATTTTACTCTAATTTAATTTTTAGTTAGAAACAGCAAATAGTGTCTAATATGCATAAATATTAAAATACAGTAGTAAAAGGAATGAAAAAAATATACTTCCCTTTCTCTGTTCTTGATAAAATTTTATTTTTATTTCTCAATAGGAAAGTACATTTACAATGAGAGTCAAAGGCATTCGATTTAAACCTTGTGCACTTGGAAGCAAGGAACTGTGCTTTGCTTGGCGTGAATTTTCTGATTTTCTCAGAGTAAATTTAACTGCAGGATCACCTGCTAAATTGCAAATTGTGGATTGGCCAGAGTTAGAAAAGGTAAATCAAACAGTTTTTGTCTTCGTGGGGAGAGGGGTTAAAGATGTGACTGATAAGCAAGTCTTATTTACAGATGCAAAGATGAAAACACTGACTTGTTGATATGATACTTCTGAAAACTGTCAGAATATGACAGCTGTAGAGATACTTTTTGTATTTTGTTCAGGACTGTCTAACACAAGCAAAATTATTTTGCAAGCCAGTTGTGTAAGCATGTCTTAATGGGACAGTAAATACAAAGAATTTATCAAACAATAGCCAATTAAACACATTAACTTTTAAAATTACATTTACTTTAGGGTGAACTAACTAACGTATCTATTCATAACACTATATTCCTTAATTATGTCTTATATTGTTTTTCCTGTCCTGTTCACCTTTCTATGTAATGTTTTCTTTGGTGCAGCAGTTTTGCTGCAGGCTGGATCTACTGTTTGCCAAAGATGCTGTTTTTAATAATGGTTGACAGCTCATCTTCCTTTACTTGTTACTATTAGATGTAGGACAACAACCTCAAATTTACTTAGAATTTTTTTGTGTTTACAGTCAGAAAGTGGAGTACTGTACTTTGTCAGATGGGAATTTTTTGAACTACCCTTTATTTGTTTATTTAAGTTATAATGCTGAAGTTGCAGCAGGAAGTAAAATAGGTGAGCAGCAGCAGGCGCAAAGGTTGAAGTGTTGGGAAAATGGAGAAGGAAACTACTGAAGAAGATGGAAAACCAAAGGGAATGCTGTAACTATTTTTACTCTTAAGAAGCTGCCGAGGTCAAACAAAATACAAGAAGTTATAGGCCATTTGCTCCTTTTGCAAGTAGGAAAGTGTGCATAAGCCTCTTCAGGAGCATGTCTTTCCTTTGAGTTGTGTCAACATGAGTGACATGTTAAATTCAATCAAGACATGCATCTTATAATGACAAGAATGCAAATGATGGAATTCTAGAAAGGGCTTCAAGAAGTTCTGCAATTGTGACATGACCTATCTGTTACAGGAGGAAAAGAGTATGAAAAAGGTGCACGCTATTGTTTTGAGTGTTCTTGATATGCTGTGAATGTCTGATATATCTGAAACAGAACAGAATAATGCCTTTGTCTATCTTCCAGCCTGTTGCAGTGATTAATGGTAGAGAATTGCTGAAGCCCCTTATTGTGCAACTGTGTGATCAGTGGGGAAATCCATCTCCTGAACCTCATGTCAAAATCAGCCTTACAAAGAGTAGCAACCTAAAGGTAAGCATAGGTCTTACTCTGTGAAATTTTGTTCATGTAACACAGATCGGTGTTTTCTACAATTTCTTCTTCATTGTTAAGACATTTTTGAAAAAAACAAAAAACATATTGTAAGGATGCAAAAGAATAATTAATCTCATGTGATAGTAATTTCAGTGAATAATGTAAATAGCTCCCAGGACAGATTCCTCAGCTCCCTTTTATTGTAACAATCACAAACATAACAAAATTGCTGTAGTCTGGTATCCAGGTGTCATTAGTGTACTTTCTTATTCTTCTGTTCAACCTTTCTGCAAATTCTGTGTGCATCCCCCACTTTATCTGAGGTGACTTAATGAATAAAAATCATGACGTCTTTCAAAGTGGCAACCAAATCATTCTTATCTGGTGGTTCTTTTGATTGTGGTTCCTGAATGTATGGCTGGTGGTCTCGGCATAAACTAATTAGCTGGTCTGCTTCTCACTTGATTACCCGTGAGAAGAGCATTGGCAGTATAAACCAATCTAAAACAGTGAGAGCGCATTATCTAACCCAGAATGAAGCAGTTACTCCCCTTTCTGTGACATGCATATTGGTCTATACCAAGAAAGGAGTTTGATAGAATTCATAATTCATGAACGTTTTCCTCAGTTCAGCTATATTACTATTACTCGTCTTAAATGTTTTCTTTTTTCTAATTATATTGCTTATTATTATTCAGGACACTTCTTTACATCTTGGTTTTCATTCTGTCGCTTACCCTAGAAGCTTTGCTTATAGTTTAGAATTTTTTTTAGCTTGCCCCCCACAAGTGTGTTTATGAAGGCAGCTGCAGCTCTGTGAAGCTTCTGATTACATTGTTCTTGAGAGGCCATACAAACTTGACAGTAATGCTCTGTGATGACAGTGCCTAATCAAAGAGACTTTATGGTGGTATGCTGTATTTTCAAACGTTATGCCCTCTTCCAAGGAAGACTGGCAACATGCCTTCAAAAGTCTGCATGCCCTTCATCTACATTCCTTGAGTTCAGCAACAGTGGAATGATTTCTGAGTGATACTGTCATATGTTAGTGGAGCAACTACCTGCTTATTTGCTAAACAAACATTAGATCAGTATTCATGATTATCTTGACAAATGTCTTTAGAGAGACACGGAATTGTAGGTGTTGGAAGGGACCTCTGGGAATCATAAAATCTAATGCCCCTGCAAAAGCAGATGCCCTACTGTATGTTGCAGGAGAACTCTCTTGCCTTGGCATTTCAAAGAGTGTGTATGCACAGTTTCCCAAAGGTTATGAAAAGCTTCCGGGAATTTAAATTCTCGGATAAGTTGTCCTCTTACATTTCATGACTTGTCCTCTAAGTCTTGTAAACTTGGTAATGTGTGGTTGCAGCATGCATTTTCTGTACTCCATTCTTTGTGCTATTGGTACGAAACTAAATGAGTGTGGCTCAGCAGTAAAGTCTCTGCACTCCTGTGTGCAACCCAGTAGTGGAAATGTGCAAAGCACTTGTTTCTGTGATGTGCAGTAATGTCAAATATAAAATGATTTTGCTAAACTGAGTATAGTCTTCAAAAGAGTATATGAAATGACTGACAATTTTCATAGTGTCTCTAGGAAATCAAACTATATTTACAGTTTCACCTTCCATTTGAACCATTAAGTACACGTTTTTTGCCATTGCATTTCTGTGATGACGTGTTAGGAAAAATTCATGCTTCCATAGCTGATCCATTATCAGTCAACACTTACTTCACTTACTTTTTTCTTTTTTTTTTCCTTTAGTAATTTCGTTCATGTAAATTACTGGTGTGAGATTTAGGAAAGAAAACAATTTTGCAAGAGGATTGCCCACTTCACCTATTCCAAGTATTTTATTTTCATGCATACAACTAGACATTTAGTCTTCCAAAGTTTATGCTGAAATAGCAAAGGGAAGACAGTTTAATGCCAAATACTGTTCAACGACAAACTTTTGCATGATTTTGTTGTGTTATGTCATCAATGTAAAAAAATTGATTTCCCTCTTTAGAGAGGAATTCATTACACAAGAGCTCAGAGTGTGTCCATGGCTTCCTATGCAGTCCTCTAAACTTTAAAGCTGCTATCTGAGGTTCTTCTGATACACTGACAAGGCATTTCTTAGGTAAGGCTAAGACAGTGCACATGCCCATTTTCAGAAGAAATAGCTTCTCCATACTGTTAGGAATGTGTTAATACTATCTAAAATTTACCACCTGTTTCTCTGAGAAGATAGATTTTATGAATCTGCAATCCTGGCATCCATAGTTTCCAGATTCTCTGGTTCATAGGAAAGTACAGTGATAGCTTCTCTGCTGTTAAATTTGCAAGGACTTAGTGGTACTGTCAATCATAAGATTTCACTTTCAGTGCGAGGGGAGTGAGTGTGGCAAAGACAGGGAGCATGCTGAGCATGCATCTTGAAGAACACCAGTGAGTAATGGGGAGTTATTTTATAACCATGAGATTCAGCCAGAACTCCTGTAAGTCAGTGGCAGAATTTCCACTGACTTCCAAGAAATTAGAGCCAAACCTGATGAAAGTACTAGGCAAACAGGAAATGTGTAAGGCATCTGTGTTGTGCTAAAACAGTGCTGACAAAAAGTCACTTATTAGTGTTTGGTTAAATGCCATTTGTTTTGGTGTAGAGATTAGCTTTTGTTTGTCGTAGAATATTGATTAGTGAGGTATCATAATTCATAACTTGTAACACTTGTAAGTTGCCTAGCAATCTTACTTCTTTTGGCAGTTTGACTAGAATGGGGAAAAGTGAGGAGAGCTAGAGATGCTTTTGTTGTTTTTACTGAAGTTTAATCATTCTTTAATTTTTGCTACCCAGGAACCTCCGTGCAGACTGGAAAAACACTGAAAGGAAGTAAACAATTAGTAGAAGGTTTTAGAATCTGAAAACATACTCATATTAATATGTGTTATAGATGACATGATAGTATCAATAGTAGTTAAAGAAATAACATCTATTAAATATTTAAACCTATTAATGAACAAAAATATCCTCGTTCAGGTAAAGTGAATGTCTTCAAAAACTGACAGAGAAAATTCTGAAGCATCTTAATGCCATATTCATGACAGTGTATCTTTCCCTAATTTAGAGTGCAAAAATTCAAAGCAACCTTTATTCGCATGGAAAGATAGTACGTAGGCAAATGAGATATACACTTTATTCTAAGACTTGATAGTACTTCTGTGTCACTGAAAGAATAAAAAATATTTTTTTTGACAGATTGTTCCTTCAAACCACCAACATAGAACAGATGACAATGGTAGGGCTAACCTGGGAGTTATTAGTATTCATGCACCTAGGTAAGTAGTGAAAATGATGTGAACAAACTGAATTCTGAAATGTCGCTTGCTAGATATATTTAAGCTGCGCATTTCATAATGCACCTACCAGGAAATGGTCTAGAGATAAGGGCAGGCATTTATTAAGGCATTAAGGCTGGTGGAAAGCCACTTAGTGAGCTTTAAGAAATTAAATGCTTAGCTAAGTAAAAATGGATGGCATCTTCTTTCTTCTTCTGAGAAGCTGCTGCTCTAATCTTCTGAAGTCTAGGTTTTCTCGGCGTGGTAAAACACGGCTTATAATCGCCAAGCAGTACCTAGTGTATGTATAAATCCTTTAAAACATTTCAAGTTTACAGCCTTTGAGTGACCAGAACTAAACATCATGCTTTCAAAATAGGAACATGTTTTAGGAGTATTGAAACTCCATTTCTAGGTGCTAACCAGTGTTTAAAAAATTAGGTAAATTGTCTGAAAGAATTATAGTGAGGAAAAACAGAAAACAAAAAATATTTTCAGTAGAAATAATGAAGTCTCATTTCCTGCAGGTTTGTGTCCTGTATCTTTTGCTTCTTCGTGTCTGTCTGGATGCACTTTACACACACATGTCCTGTCTGACTTTTCAAATTCTTTATTCCTTTATTCCTCTCATGCTTATAGATCTGCTACTCACCTTCTGGAACCCTGAGGCTTGCTTGATAACACTAGAGGTTTTTTTTCCTGCATCTTACTTAAGCAACTTAAGCTGCTATAGCATGATTCAACACAACCTATGGCTAGTTTGGGGGTTATATGTAATTTTTATTTTTTTGTGGAGTGGATAGTAAACCCATATAGCGAACAGAAACATTGTTCTTCCCATAAAGAAGAAAATGACTAGGGATTCTTTCTTCTACCCACTTACTATTTTCTAGAAAGCTGTAGGTGAATGATTTGTGTTCTGCATTTCCATTTCCTCAATTGTAGTAATTCAGCTTTTTTACATACTCTTGGCCTTTTAAGATTTCGGTCTCTCTTTTAACTTTTGAATCAACTGGCCTGTCTCAACTGGAAATATATTTAGATGGAACAGCCTAAACTTTGTTTTCTTTGGAAAATGAGTTGAAAGCTATTTTTTTGTTTACTTGTTTCCTTTTTTCTTAGTGAATGCTAAAGATCAGAAATTAGTAGGCATAGAATCATAGAATATTCCATGTTGGAAATGACCCATAAGGATCATCAAGTGCAACTCTACAGAAAGGACTACCCAAAAGTCATACTATATGACTGAGAGAGTTGTTCAGGTGTTTCTTGAATTCTGGCAGACTCAATGGCGTGACCACTTTCCTGGAGAGATGTGCTTGTATAAGACATGCTTATATAAGACTTCTTATGCTTATGTAAGATCTAAATAATTTTGAGTAATTTTAGACAGTATTTCCATTTAAAAAATGTAAAAAAATGTAAAATAAATGTAAATGTAAAATAAAATGTAAAATAATAGTAAAAGATTGGAAGATTCCTTACTGGCTGACAGGGACCAGGAAGAAGAAGTTAACTGAGTGCCTACTGTAGAAAGATTTTATGGGAAAGGTCTGTTGAGTGTTTTGTTACAAGTATTTAATTTCCTGAAGAGAAATACTGATTAAAAGTCGGTCATGCTTAGCTCATAAGAGCTTTACTTACAAGACCAGATTGGCTTTCTATAGCTTAAAGCTAGCACTAAGTGCTTTTTCTTCTGAAGTATTTTATGCTAATTAATATTTTTGCATTCCTACAGGAATATAACCTACAGGAGTTAATCCGTAACAATATTACAAACTGCGTTTGTAAAGTTCAGAACTTGGTGGATGGTAAATTAGTTATCAGTGTATTACTGGCTGCTAGAAACCACTGTGTTCATTGGCGGCATCCTACCTTTTTAGCACAACCAAAAGTGGCTGGGGAATACAGCCAGCATGCAGTTATTGTATAGCAGCGAAGTCATTATGTGCTAGCAGTGCTAGATGTGTGTTTAACACATTCTCTCTTTGGAAACTGTCAAAGCAGATTGTTCCTTAGACAGCATTTTAATTAGTTTAGCTTGCTTTCTATCATACTGTCTTTCACAACTTACAGCAGCTGCACTTGCTAACATCTTACAGATAGACAATGAAAGGATCAAGCTAATGAAATATTAAAAACTAAATTTAATAAGCTATCATAAGAGTATCTTAAAACTATGATTTTACTTCATTCATATGTTTCTAATTTCATCTTAACCCTTCTGTTTTTTCTCCCCTTTACTTCTGATATCTTGAAGTTCTCTTAAGATTTTGTTTCTTATGCTTTCATGTACGTGATTCAGATTTGAGGTATGTTGATAGTTGTCTTTTCAAAAGAGATTTTACAACTGTTTTTATGATTTCTTTATATTTCAGGGGAGAGCACACTTTACAGCTTAGAGCTTCATACAACAAGATTGCATTAGAGTGTCCTGTTATTACATTTAATGTCCTTCCTGATCCTGACAAGCCTATCCGCTTGAATGTTAAATATGACAAAAATGCTTGTTTTCCAGCAGGAGGCACCTTTCCTGGTAAGTATAAGGATTCTTTGATAGAAGCCAGTCTTCCAAGGAGATCAGGTCTCTAGCTACCACTATTTTTCCATGTAAGCAGATGTTGCATTGCCTTCCACATTACTGACCCTGACCAGGTCAGGGCCAAAGAACTATTACAGACAGATACTCGTATACTAGTTCTGCTCACTGTAGAGGTATTCTTAAGTGCAATTTTATAAATAAAGCCAGTACTTCCATTCTACACAGTTAAAGGAATGGAAGACTAAGTTGGCTGCTTTCATGAGACAGCTAAAAAATGAGAAGCATGGGAATAAAAGCAGCTGTCATACTTCTTCATGTCTTCCATTGGTACAGTGGAAATGGAAGCTAACTTGAGAGAGGCTTCCATCTCATGGACAACATGGAAGAGTGTGCTTTTTCAGACATCTCTGAGTTTGTAGTACTTAAAGATTTAAGAATAATAGAGAACTAACTAATACATAAAATATGTTTTCAGGTGTAGTACGTGCAGTTTAAGTCAACCATGTTTTGAGAGAAGAAGACGAATAGACGACTTCTTCAGGAGTTAAAATTGTAAATGTGATATTAAATTTTGGTTAAAAAAACAGATTAAATTCCTTATTAACAATCTCATATTTAATTAGCATTCTAATTATTGAATTTACTGGTGAACTCAGGTACAGCTGTAATCATGCTTGACTTGTTCGTACATGTCAAAGCACAATCCTTCTTCAATCTGCAAAGTTTAATCAATGCATCTTCAATTATATGCTTGAAAGCTACCTGTAGTTCTTGTGACAAAGTGCTCAGCAATTACAACTAGAATGGTTGCTTTCTTCTGTCTTACACTGCTCTTCTTTTAGGCCACTTAACTTTCTGTGGAGTTTATAGGAAAAGCTAAATTATTTTGATTGGGATTTTAAAAGACCATTATTTTGACTGTAGAATCAGTCAGTAGCAAATGGGGGAGTTAAATATGTCTGTATATTCTACTACTAAGTATGTCATGTTAGTTATAAGAATAACCAAACCGATTAAGGTTCTTATTCTGAGTCCTTTTTATTACAGTGTGGCTGGTAGATGGGGAAAAAGTAGTAGTGGTTTGTGCCTTTTTTATCCAGTAGTTCAGTGTCTAAAACACTTCTGAAGAAAGAGGGAGATACGAATTTGCAGTTGTGAAGAAAGAAATCAACTACTTAACCAGCTGGTGATTGTTCTTTTGTAAGAGCAAGAAGAAACCTGGCTTGCTTTTAATAAGAGTGATAGCCTGGGAAAAGCAGACTTGAATTTAGAGGGGATTTTTAAGAACTTGTTGAATAAAGCAGGTGCTTTGTTATTTTTTTCCCTAAGTAAGGATTATCTAATTGCAGGAGAAGGAGCAGACTGATTTCCATGCCATTTCAATTTTTTGTTGCTTGGGTTTCAATTGAAATGTGGGTTTTGTTTATTTTCTCCCCTAGGTAGAAACAAGATCTAGAAATTCATCAAGCTTAGTCATTTTAATTTTGAATACAAATAATCCTAAACAGTTATCTTCTTTCATTCTGCAGATTTTATGGTTAGTGTTCTTTCTGAAGATGAAAATATTATCAGAAATATTAGTCCAGCACGTATTTCTATGAAAATGTGGAAAGGACAGGGCAGCGGAAATAGGATACCAACTGATGTAAGTCATCAAAACATTTTCAAATTGGATATCAAAATGTTAACATAGGACAAAGATTTTTTTAGTGGACATATTCACATATTTTACTTAGATCAGTATCCTGTTCTAGATTTTAAATAATAAGAACTATTTATCAGTCATAACTGCTTAACAGTCTGCTGTATTACAAGTTGTCTCACTATTCAAGTATCACTATAGTAGTACAGAAAGTACAGAAATGCTCCTACTCCACAGAAGCTGAATAGTAGTAGAGAGCTTATTAAAAGTTGAGACCCTGAGTTTGCAAAAAAAAGTTCTGAGATTAGGAATATGAAAGTAGCATCTAAATTATAGGTAGTCTCATTGATTTATTGTGTGCTATCAGTGCAATGAGGGCTGCTCCAAAAAAGTGCTTCGTATTTTACTATGGTGGCCCATGTCATCAGAGGCAGATGGTGGTGGTATGGAAGTAGAGGCTGAACCTTCCCGCCACTATTCCGTTACATTTTATTGCTGTGCAACAAATGGCAGCAGAGGGGCAGTCTGACAAAAACAGCATCTGACGTGGAAGTGCATGTGAAGCAAAGGAGTGCCATTGAATTCCTCCACGCAGAAAAAATTGCATCCGTTGTCATTTATCGATGCTTGCTGAACATTTGCAGAGACCAAACAAGTGAATGTGAGCACAGTGAGGTAGTGAGTGCTGCATTTCAGCAGTGGCAACAGTGAGAGTGGATTACCACCTACTGGTGCAGATTTTTACCAGTTTACCAGTGTGCAGGCTCATAACTGGCAAAAACACGTAGCTAATAGTGGTGACTGTTGAAAAATCGTGTTTTGTAGCTGAGAGTTTGCTGTATCAAACAGTGTTATTGTGGTTTTTATGTCTGTTGTAGTTTCAGTGGAAATAAGTAGGAGGTATTACTTTCAATGTGACCTACATTCAAATCATAAAGACTTGACAGCATATTACAAGCAAAGTACTTTCAAGTATGTAATGTCATTTATTCATTTATTCATTTTTGCACACTTTCAGGTTACAGCATTTAGCTGTAGTAAAATAAAGGATGACAAGGAAGATGGCTTCTTTTATTTCAGGTATAGCAGCACTTAATTTGTAATTACCGATGCAGCTTATTGTGCAAAATACGTAGTTTTTGATAATAACTTTGTTAAAGATTTAGTGTGACGCAGCGCTATGAAATGTATTAGCATGTTGTGATGAGTATGAGAATTGTATTCTTCCCAAGATATGTTTGACACTTGTTTTAATGGGAGAAGAGAGAATGAAAGGGTATCTAAGGTAATACATGACATGAGAAATGCTAGCAATGCAGGTAACCTTCCTTAATTCTCTTCAGCACAATGTTCAACTGCTGTAGAATTGCAGGTTAGGCAAAACAGATTGATTTAACACATTCTGTAGCTGTTAGTCTTGAACCATGAGTTAGCCAGAGATAGTGTCTTAAATGACAGGCAGTAGAACTGGAGTTCATGATATGCTGGCATCTGGTTGCCACATTCCTTATACACCTGTGTCTGGCAAGCATGCTATGGGTGGTTGGGATAAGTTGAATAGTTGTAGTCTTGGTTGCTGCTTCACGCTATTGTATCCAGATTTTAGATTTCCCTTCTGTTTTATTCAGTCTTTTAGCTTCTCAGGTGGTGTTCACCATTGTAACTTATTTGTATATGAAGACTTCCATGTAAGAGTTTACAACTAACACAAACTGCAGTACGTGTCAGTAGGAGTTGTAGCTGTTCAGGCATGGCATTTGGTATTATTACTAAGATCTCAGTCTTTAAGACAAAGGCATTCAAGATTTCACAGCCTTTTAAGGCTGTGTTTCATAGCTGTAGCAAAAGAAGAGTCCAGAATAAGGGTACAGTATTGCTTTTGAGAGAGCAGAGCTTTCTCTGTGGCTAGTAGAAAGTTACAAAATGAACTTTTACAGAAACCGAGGATCAGTGCAGATTTCTACCAAGTGTGAGATGCATTTCTGTGACATTGCTTATTCTGAGACACGCTTGGTAATGGATGTAGCTAAAAAACAAGAAACCACTAAAGCATTAATAAGACACATAGTATAGCGTATTTGTACCTTCAGGAAAATAAGTACATATCATGTTCGCCTACATAGTGCTTCTCAGAAGGGGAGCACATAAAAGGTGAATGTGATAGAAATTAACTTGCAGAGTTAAATTTTGGAATTAGAAAAATCTTGACATCACTCTGTTATTTCTTAGTAGGCTGCAAATGTCTAAAAGTAGAACTCTCTAACTTTCTGAGAGATTTGAAAGAACTAACAGTCGATAGAAACTAATCATTAAGCAGTACATTTAGGAAAGTATGTGTTACTCATTGCTTCTAGTGTCTGTAATGACATCACTGTCTACCACCTGGTTTCTCTCTTGTTTGTGTGTCCTTGACATAGTCACTGATGGTTATCATCTACTTAATGCTAGGTTAGTAGCATGGATGCACCTAATGCAGTCTTACAGTTTTTATAACAAAATTGCAATGTCTTCTTTTTTTTAAAGCTTATGTCTGGTTAGATGTTCAGCCACACCAAGAACTGTAGCAGATTATTTACAACTCAGTAATGCAGTTAATGTGTCTTGACAAGGCAGATGCTACTTTAAGACTTAACCTGGATAAAATGTAGAAAAGAAAGTAGAACTGTGCTTGCTCTTTATGATGTACAAAAAAACCATGCCCTAATCTGCAGATAGGTTAAAATGTTTAGATTATTTATTTATTTTAGATTAAACATTTCTGGGAATCTTGAACCTTATTCTTTTTCGAAAAAATATCAATTGCTTGCTGTTACTGATGAAACAGATAAAATATATCTTGAAAGGAAGAGTCCAATTCTGAGCCAATTCAATGTTGTCACAAGTCATAATCTCAGAACATTGTCTGAATCTTGTTTAGAAGCTGTTTGCATCTCGTCAAGGGTTTATAAGTATTTATAAGTCGCTGATGTCCATTGTGTTCATTGGAAGACTTCAGCAGTCATCCAGGTTACTATCTGTGGCTGTCCTTGGTGAAGTTGTGTTTCTGTCCACAGAAATGCAGGCATCTGTCTTTCCTTCATATTTTGATGTTAGGGATTCTCTCTCGATATGCTCCATGTTGCCCATTGGTGATGACCCAACTTCGTATAATTTCTGTGTAGCAGAAGGAATCATCTGCTCAGATATTGTATAAACTCAAGCCAAATGATTGAATTTTCAGAGAACTTGTTGTGATAAATATCTTTGCATTCCATTTCAGTAGCTTTATGAGAATTCATTAGATTCATTGTGAAAACAGAATAGACTTCTAAATAATGGGGCCACAACAAACATCCTGTCAGTTGATTGAGGTAAACTCATGGGGGCAACTTTCCTCATCTAGTTTTCCAAAAAACCTTATTCTAGAAGAGTTCTTGAGAAATTTTTGTGGCCTTCTTGTTGAAAGTTATTATGGAGGAGTATTACTTATTAACATATTGCATGTATAATACGTATATTACATATATTAATAGAATTCTGCCCAATTAGGAAGACTACTCAAAATTTGAATTATTTACTTGTCACTTCAACTTTTGTTTGTGTTTTGTGTTGTTTTTTTTTTTAATTACTTTAGGGATAAGGTGATTCCAGAGAGAGTGGGCACTTACAGTATCCAGTTTACTTTTGCAATGGATAAGACAAACATGCTCAGCAGTGACCAGGTTTGAAAGTATAATTAATTACATGTAGCCAAGATCATGTAATATAGAACCATCAAACACTGTAGTACTGTGCAAAAAAATTATATTTCTGTAACTAAGCAGATATTCAGGAGAGTAACAGAACTTGATAATTTGTAACCTAGTACAACTGCTTTATGGTCATCTTAAATATACTTCAAGACTGTCACTAAATTTCGCATGCATTTGTTTCAGTATTTTTTGAGCAACTGCTGTGTGCAGATGAATTGCCATGAATTCTATCAGACTTCACTTTGGTTTGTTTTATTTTAATCCTCTTTCTTTTCTGATAGATTATAGTTGAAGTTGTACCTAATGACCCAGTCCGCTTGTTACCTGATTCTTTACCAGCTACTCCAGCAGTTTCCAATGTGCGAACAGTCACAAGCCGTACACTGGTCAAGAATTTATGCCTCCACATAATGGTAACTACACTTTCATAGAAAATCATTGTTAGGGAAATATGACCACTAAAAATGAGTTGATTTTTGCTGCAGAGCATTGCTACTGTCTTCTGTTTTAAGATATTAATAAGTATGGCTAAATCCATTAAATGTTTATTTTATTTTAAATCATAGAATCACTGGTGTTGGAAAAGATCTGTTTAGAACATCTAATTCAACCACCAACCCATCACCACTGTGCCTATTAAACCATGTCCCTAAATGCCACATCTACGTGTTGTAATAATTGAAAACAAACCTAAAAAAAAGCTTCAAACATTTAAATTAAATTATACTAAAGATTCTTAAACTGATGGCAGCGACATGAAGGAAGCTTCTTTTGGTTTCTGTGTTTGTTTTTTGCCTCAGTCTTCACTGGCAGTCACTCTTCCCACTCCTCTCAAGTCTATTTAGTCCCTTTAACCTCAAGGCAGGGACTGAGACAGCAGATTCCACTGTGAATGAGTATTGGATTCAAGACCTTTGAGTCAACCTGTATATACTTAAGTCTGAGGGATCCTCTGAGATGCATTCCAGGATCCTGAGGGAACTGGCTGATGTAGTTGTCAAACCACTATCAATCATATTTGAAAAGCCTGGTAGTCGGGTGAAGTCCCCAGTGGCGGGGAAAAAAGAAACATAGCTCCCATGTTTTAAAAGAGTAGAAAGAAAGACCCTGGAAACTAGTCAGTCTCACCTCTATGCCTGTGAAAATCTTAGAACAGATCTTCCCTGAAGCTGTGTTAAGACATACAGCGAACAGAGAGATTATTTGAGATAGCTAGCATGGCTTCACAAAGAGCAAATTGCACCTGGCCAATCTGGTGGCCTTCTGTGTTGGAAGACACAATGGACATCAGAAAAGCAACTGATGTCATCTGCCTGGACTTCCCTAGGGCTTTTGGTATGTTTCCACACATTCTTGTCTCTAAACTGGAGAGAGATGGATTTTGAAGGTGGGCTATTTGGTGGATAAGAAATTGGTGAATAGCAGCATCCAAAGAGTTTTGGTTATAAGGCTCAGTGTTCAGGTGGAGATCAGTATGATCATAGTGGGACTAGTAGTATTTATTATATTTAATAATGACGGAGGGATTGAGTCTCTGGAAGTGTTCAAGGTCAGGCTGGATAGGACTTTGGGCATTCTGATCTGGTGGAAGCTGTCCTTGACCATGGTAGGAAGGTTGGACTATGTAATCTTCAGAGGTTCCTTCCATCCCAAATCATTCTGTGCTTCTACTTCAATATTTAATGCTCTTATTAAGCATTAAGTATTTGATAAGAGACCTGCTCTGGAAAGTTACAGTTCCAGGTTAATGTGGTATGTGTGTGCAAATTTAGGAATAACCTGCCTTTCACAATGACCTCTTTAATCTACAGCGACCCAAAAGAGAATTACCTCTTTTGCAGAATATTCTCCGTTTCACTTAGGAATGAAAGACAGCCCCAGCCCACAGTTGGACCCATGGAATGAGAGGTGTGTGTGTGTGTATGCACACAGAGACAACAAAGCAGTTCTTGACTTTTGGGAAGCTTAGTTGTCCAAGCAGATTTGAATGGAGAAGATTTTCAGCCAGTCAAGTATTTGCTGTGTGAATCAGATATAAAAATAAACATACTGACTGATCAATCAAGATTTCCCCATGTGGGGCATACTTTCACAGAATCACAGAATCGTAGGGGTTGGAAAGGACCTCTAGAGATCATCGAGACGAACCCCCCTGCCAAAGCAGGTTCCCTACACCAGATTGCACAGGTAGGCATCCAGGCGAGACCTGAATATCTCCAGAGAAGGAGACTGCACAGCTCCCCTGGGCAGCCTGTTCCAGTGCTCCGTCACCTTCACCGTAAAGAAATTCTTACGCACATTCATTCGAAATTCCTATGCTGCAGCTTGTGTCCGTTTCCCCTTGTCCTGTCTCCATGTACCACTGAAAAGAGACTGGCCTCACCATTATGGCCCCCACACCTCAGATATTTATAAACCTGGATGAGGTCCTCTCTTAGTTGTCTTTTCTCAAGGCTGAACAGACCCAGTTCACTCAGCCTTTCCTCATAGGAGAGATGCTCCAGGCCCTTCACCATTTTCGTGGCCCTCCGCTGGACTCTTTCCAAGAGATCCCTGTCTTTTTTGTACTGGGGAGCCCAGAACTGGACACAGTACTCCAGATGAGGCCTTACCAGGGCAGAGTAGAGGGGGAGGAACACCTCCCTTGACCTGCTGGCCACTCTCTTTTTGATGCACCGCAGGATGCCATTGGCCCTTTTGGCCACAAGGGCACACTGCTGGCTCATGGCCAACCTGTTGTCCACCAGGATGAAGATGCTGAACAAGATCAGACCGAGCTTATAGAGTCAAAGATGAAAGTATTATCTGATTATATATCTTTCATTAAAACTTTTTATAGATTTGGTGTTAGTGAAATTTTTTGCAAGAGAAATTTCAGTTATACTGAGCCTTCTCTATAACCTACAAATCCAGAAATGCTGTAGAAGAGCAAGTCTCAGACTCCTCTTTTCTGTGCTCTCCTGCATGTACAGCTAAATGTCACTTCTAATGGCATCCAATGACTGGTAGGCAAGGCTGCAGAAATAATTTACTTTTATATTGCAGATGTGTTGCTGCTCTCTGACATAGGAGTTCTCTTGGCCTTGTTACAGAACTTTGCAGGTTAGCTTGACAAAAAAACATGTAATTCTGTAATTTGTAGTATGTGACAGGTGAGGCTTGTTCTTCTTTACATACAGATAACCAAAACATAAATGTGCAGTCCTTGCTTTCAGATATCTCAATTAAAATCCATTTCTTATTGCTACAAGAAAACGTGTTTCCAGATTCTAGTGGGAAAACACAGAGAGAAACTTCTGCTGTATATATAATTTTTTTTCCAGAAGTCAGTTTCTTATGACATCTTCCTTAACAGAACATCAGGTTTCCTGAACTTTAAACATTCACATGATATAGGGAAATTGCTTACCAGCTACCACCATGGGCATAGCCTGGAGAAAATTAATTTGTTGTGTGTTAGAATAAATTTGGGTAGTGAGAAACAAAGGCAGTATAACCCTAAAACACACTGTCATCTACCCTTTGCTCAGTTTCACTCCTGCCTGTTCCGTCTCCCTTCCCAGAGGAGCAGGGAGTATGAGGAATGAGATTCATAGTCATTCCATAACAGCTCCTCTCTGCCACTCCTTCCTCCTCACTCTGTTGCCCTTCTCCAGCATGGGTCCTCTGCATAGGCTTCAGCCCTTCAGGAAGAATCTATTCCCTTGTAGGCTCTCCACAGGCCGTGATTTTTTTAGGGCCTAGATGTCTGCTCTTTTTTAGGGTCCTGAAGTGCCAGCAGTGTGGATGCCTGCGCCACCATGATCATCTCCACAGGCTGCAGTCCAATGGACTGCACTTCCCACATTGTGGTCTCACAAGGGGCTTCAAGGGGAATTTCTACTCTAGCATCTGGAGCAGCTCATCAGAAGGTTCTCTGCCCTGCAGTGGGCCATTGTAGCCACCCAGAACCATCTATATCTTGCATGGGGTAACCCTGGCATCTCCTCACAGAAGCCACCCCACAGCCCCTCCACTGTCAGAACCTATGTACACCCAATTCATAGGGAAACTGGAAGTTTTAGTTTAGTCTTTGTGCTATGATATCATTGCTCTCAGCAAGATGTGATGGGACAGTTTGCTTGCCTGGAGTGCTGTGTTAGATGGCTACAAGCCTCTAGGAGAGATGTGTAAATGCCAGGGGAAAGGCCAATAAAGCTGTTGTCACGGTGGATATCTATTAGTGACACTACTCAACCAGGACAAAAAAGGTGGGTGAATTGCTCTCCAGGCAATTAGGAGAGGTCATACAATTGCTAGTCCTTTTTCTCATGGGAGACCTCAGCTTCTGAGATATCTGCTGAAAATACAGTACAGCAGAGATAAAACAATCCTGGCCTGCATTGGAAATAATGTGGCCAGCAAGACTTGGGAACGGATTGTCCCCCTGTAGGTGGCACAGGTGAGACTGTGCCTTTGGTCTGTGTGCAGAGAAGAATAGTGAAGCTGGTAAAGGGACTAGAAAAAAATACATTTGAGGAGCACCTGAGACAATTTAGGCTGTTAGTCTGGAGAAAATGATGCTGAAGGGAAACATTATCACTCTCTACAGCTATCTGCAATGGGAAGGTTAGAGTTTTCTTAGGACATGAGGAAACAATGTCAGTTTGCACCAGGGGTGTTTGGATTGGACACTAGGGAGAATTTCTGCACTGATAGGGTGGTTAAGCATTGAAGCAAGCTGCTCAGGGAGGTGGTGGAGTCCCCATCCCTAGGAGTATTTGAGAGAGGTGTGGATGTGGCACTAAGGAACGTGGTTTAGTATCAGGGCTTGATAGGTCAGGTTGATTGTTGGACTTTGATTATTTTGTATAAATAAAGGTCTTTTCCAACTTAGATTTTTCTGTGATTTTATAAATGAATTATTTATTTTGGTTCCTGTTCATCCTCCAAGCTAACTTCTCTGTCTTTTTACTTACAGGATGAATACAACAATCGCACTGGAGCTGACTTAATTGGAAGAGTAATAGCAAAAATTAAGAGCCCCAATGAAGATGATACAGAGATCCCACAGTTTCAAGGGAAGATCAGTACAATTGAGTTCCCATTTGACAGAGGATCAGCTGAAATTGTAAGTGCACAGTTCCATGAGCTATAAGTCTATTGAAGCCTATTTTCCTACCATTTCAAACCTGATCTTAAACGCTTAGCCGTGGTCTGTGGAGGGTTAGCATTTATTGTAGGCTGCCTTCTTGATATGAAGATAAATTATTTCTTCTCTATTTGGTTGCTGATTTTCAGAAAGTGTGGAGGAAAGTCATTCTTAAAACTGATGATTCTTGCAAACTGAGGGAAGCTTATTCAAGAATCACTAAAATATACAAATCCTGCATACAGATGTCTCTGTGTTGCAACCACTACATCGACTACTTTCATGGAACTACACAGATGAAACTTTACGACGTAGCATAGGCACTTGTCTGTCCATAATAATCAAGGACTATGACATAATAATCAAGGAAGTATTCTACTTCCAGCAGAATACAGATAGTGTGAGCAAGTGCCTTTTGCTGAACAATCTGTTGAGCTCTGTTCTACTCTGATCTGTGACAAAAGTAACAAACAGACTGAATGGAGGCAGTCGGATAAAATCACAGTACTAACTGTGCACTCTGAGTTTCTCTTGTTCCCCAAGAATCTTTCAAGAGCAATAAATTTCCTGAGAAACTGGATGTTCTTGTCAGTGTTTAGTGTTTAGTCAGTGTTAGTGTTTAGATATATATTTTTCATTCCTTTTGGATATGCTGTCTAATTCTGTGCTAACAGCAGTAAGTTTAATTCAGCACTGGGAATAGATGGTTCTTCCACCCCTGTGTTTGTGCATCTGGTTCTTAATTTGGTTCTGCTTACATTTGTTCGCAATGCTGTATGAAGTACATCTGAGGAAATCTTGCCTATGGAATGATGCAGAAAATATTTTTTCTGACCATATGTCTCTGCAATAAAATATGTAACTGAAAATAATAAGACTCCTTAAGCAGGTAAAACAACCTCAATTCTTAAATAATAAAATACTTACTGCTAAATCTTCATATTTTACTTATTTCTATTATGAAATTGAATGGATGGGGAATGAAAGCTATTTCCAAGCCAATATTTAAATCTGTAATAGTATCATATGTAAGTTATGTGTTAGGAAATTTTATAAATTTTATTATTTGAACATTGTTAATTTTATTTTGTGTGTTACCCTCAACTTACGTTTCTTTCTTTGTTTTTGAATTAGACCCTAGTGCTGGCTGAAAACAGTCCTGGAAGAGATAGTACTGAATATATTCTTGTATTTGAGCCAGACCTGCCAGCTTTGAAAAAACCTTTGGAACCATATCGTCTGTCATTTATGTTTTATAATGGTATGTTTCATTTACTCTAAAATGCTTGTTTGTCCCTAGAACAGACTGTTTAGTTCCCTAATACTGCTTGAAAACTGTGTAACAGCCTAATAGATTTTGGCTGATGTTTAAATTAACTGTGTTACTGTAATTTCTTCTAATTGTATCTATGTATTTTTTCATGTAGATTTCAAGAAGCAGCAACAGATGGCAACACTTACAAGGGAGAGAGACCAATTATCTCAGTCCATAGGTGTTTATAGAAATTGGTTTGATACTACTAATCAGCTTGTAAATGAAATGAGATGTAAGTGCAACCAAGTATATACATAAATTTCCTGGCACTATTTTTTTTTCCTTTAAGGGGAAAAATCAGCATTGAAGTCCTGAGATCAATTAGAGGGGAGCCAGAAATGCTTTGCATTAGCAGGGAATTTTAGGGAATTAACTGTATAGTATACAGTTATATCGCAGTAGTAGTATATGTATAGTATACAGTTATATCGCAGATGACACCAAATTGGCTGGAAGTGTGGATCTGCCTGGGGGTAGCGAGGCCCTACAGAGGGAGCTGGACAGGCTGGAGAGCTGGGCTGAAGCCAATGGAATGAGTTTCAACAAGGCCAAATGCCGGGTCCTGCACTTCGGCCACAACAACCCCAGGCGACGCTACAGGCTTGGGGCGGTGTGGCTGGAGGACTGCGTAGAGGAAATGGACCTGGGGGTATTGATTGATGCCCGGCTGAACATGAGCCAGCAGTGTGCCCAGGTGGCCAAGAAGGCCAATGGCATCCTGGCTTGCATCAGAAACAGTGTTGCAAGCAGGGGCAGAGAGGTGATTGTTCCCCTATATTCAGCACTAGTGAGGCCGCACCTCGAGTACTGTGTCCAGTTTTGGGCCCCTCACTGCAAGAAAGATATTGAGGCCTTGGAATGTGTTCAAAGGAGGGCAACAAAGCTGGTGAGTGGTCTGGAACACAGGCCATATGAGGAGAGGCTGAAGGAGCTGGGAATGTTCAGCCTGGAGAAGAGGAGGCTCAGGGGAGACCTCATTGCTCTCTATAACTTCCTGAAGGGAGGCTGTAGTGAGCTGGGGGTCGGCCTCTTCTCTCGTGTCATCAGTGATAGGACCAGGGGGAATGGCTTCAAGCTACGGCAGGGGAGATTCAGGCTGGACATGAGGAAGTATTACTTTTCAGAAAGGGTGGTCAGGCACTGGAATGGACTGCCCAGGGAGGTGGTGGAGTCACTGAGCCTGGGGGTGTTCAAGGAAAGGCTGGATGTTGTGTTGAGGGACATGGTTTAGTGGGAGCTGTTGGGAATAGGTGAACGGTTGGACTGGGTGATCTTTTAGGTCTTTTCCAACCTTGGTGATTCTATGATTCTATAGATAATTCTCTTTCAATAAGTTATTCATACATATGTATGAATAAAGTTACTTTTCGTTTGTGCATTTGACCCTGTGTACTTTATTCAAAACTTATCTAACTATGCATTGTTTATCTGTACATTCTTCAGCAAATGTAATACTTAATGAAGTTTGTTAAAAGCAGTGTGAAAGCAATTGTTTGCAAAAAAGGGAGAGAAGAAGGAGGAAACATTTTTTTGCATTATTTTTTCTTTGAATTATTCTGCCTGTTGATCAAGTTTATGTTTCTGTAACTTGCCCATTGCATATTCCCATTATGAATGCAGATTCCAGAATTTCAGTATAAAAGGCAAAAAGTTTTGCTTCATATTTTCAGAATTTTGCGTGTTTCTAGAGAGTAAGTTAGGGTACAACCTTATGCTTTATGCTTTAAAATATTTTCAAATATGGATAAACCCATTTGAATAGAGAAAGTAGGAAACTCAGTATTTTCAGAATTGCTTCAGCAGAGATATAAGTTGAGGAGCCAGTGTCCCAGAACTGGCCTTTCATGTAGGAAACAGAGGGTAATGCTACTACCACTCTTCCTTTCTCTCATGCCTTTTTCTTTGTTGGAGAACTTGGAAAGATAATTGAGGATGGAAGGAAAGAAGAGCTTATATTCTCAGACTCACCTGAATGCTAGCTCCATCGCTTCATGAAACTGAAGGAGATGACTTCTGCTGAAGTTACTTATGAAATGGACGAAGCATAAGATTTTGTTGACAAATCCTGATATTCTATGATGGAACTGAGAAATACAGATATCATCCGCTGTGGGTGGCATAAGTCTGAAAATACTGAACAGTTGTAAGAAAATCTGCAATAAGTGCTCCCTTCATTTCTGATGTATCCTAATTATCTGTTGATTTTATTGGTTTCAGGTCAAGTTAAAGAAGCTGAAACAAGAGAAATTCACCTGAGAAATGAACTGAGGAAACACCAAATTGAATTACCACAGACAAACACAGTATGGCTTATTCCTTACTAAACCTCATACCATCTTAAAAATAAATCTAAATCTTAATACAATCTCTGCACCATTACTGAATCATACCTAGTAATTACACAAACACCTGCTAACAAAACTGAAAATTTAAACCATAAGAAAAATGTATAGATCATTGCCAATGTTTTTTTAACTGTTCTGCTAGTCTTACTGTCTCACCACTATATATTTTTGTATTCTGATCTTGTTTTTGCCTTTCTGCTAAGGTTAGCAATGGTTTGCTGGTAATACTGTTTTTAATAATGGATTTTTAAAAGCTGATCGATACGTGCTAGGTGTATTTTGGCATAAATAGACCAAACAAAAATAGTTTTCAGAGAATACAGCATTTCATATGCTGCTGCAAAAGCGGACTTGAAAGATTCAAGACAATGTATCCCACCACCAATTTTTCATAAAGATCCAATTAAAGTTTAAGGAAGTCTTTTAAGGAAATTTTCAAACTACTGGTGTTTTGAATAATTGTGTAAATTATTCCTTATCTTTAGATCAAATAAAAATGAGCTACAGTTATAAAGCACAAATCAATAGATTATACAACAATGAAACCTAAGTTCCCCAGACCTGGGCATATTCCCTTTCTAAAATAGTTTCTTGTTCTACATTTATAGTTACTAATTCCTGATATTTTCTTCAGTTTTGGCTGTAATTAAGATCCAGTAACTTTTTGAAAAGATTCCTGAAATCTTAAAAAAGTATAGTAATAAAAAAGCTTATAGCTGCAATGCAGCATGGTCCCCTTCACATTTACAGATTATTGAATTATTTTACTTTGAATGTGATTCACAGTAAATAAAATAAGTGCTTCTGCAAGTTGGCCCTGTGATAAGTGCTCACTAACTCTGATTTTCAATTGTCAGCTTCAGTATGTGGATTCTCTTATAAAACAAAAGATGTTGGATCAAGATGGACTAATGAAACAGCCAAGGAGGACTTGTACCCTCCCAAACTATCCAAAAGGCAACCAAGATATTTTAGGGAAGGTGAGTTTTCTCCCAAAGAGCCTTCAGATGAGTTTTGTTAGTTCTAGGAAGTGGTAGTGATGGAAAAATTAGCCAGCTGAATATCTCAGTAATTCTTGAGGAGTAGTAAGGAAAAGATAACATTCACATCCCATCCAATGACTGACTGTCCTTACAAAGCCATCGATGGAGGAGTTATATGTCTGATTGTAGTTGCAGGAGTATTGTGATTGGTGTGGAAAGGGGACATGGTCTTGACTTCTATTTTGACTGTTCTAACTTCTGTGGTACAGATTGCACATTTAGCACAAATTGAGGACAATGAAGCAGCAAAAGTTATCTCTTGGCATCTCGCCAGTGACATGGACTGTGTGGTCACATTGACTACTGAAGCTGCTCGTTCTATTTTTGATGAAACACAAGGTCGGCAGCAGGTGTTACCTCTTGATTCTATTTACAAGAAGACACTCCCTGATTGGAACAGGTAGGGGAAGAAACAGTGAAATTTCTGCATTTGTATTACATAGTTATTTAATATTTTTCTCATATTTCTTAAAATTGCATTGAAGATTGAGAGTGTAAAATTTCTGGCTTTGTAAAACTCTTGAATGTCCTTTGAAATTTTAGCTGTAAACCTAGCCTTACATATTTAACTAAATACTCTATTTATTTAATAAGGTGTTGAGCCTGAAAAGACAAATTTCCATTTGCTTTATTCACCTCTACGTGTTTACTAGAGCACTAGAGCATTAACTGTTCTTTTGTTTAATAAAATTCTAGTGCTTCCAATCATATTCTAACTTCTTAAGAAATCTGATTTTAATTACAGTCCCTAAAATTCATTGTTGATAAATTGATAACTTATCCTATGATGTGGAAATGCTAACATGCATTCAGTTCAGCTTTAGATTTCTGAGTAGATGATTAGAAGCAATAATGAAATAAGGATAAACCACTTTTTTCTTTTTCTTCCTCACTCTCTCTTTTCTTTAACCAGGCCTTTACCTCACTTAAGAAATGGAAAAATCTGCTTCAGACCTGTAGGAAATCCTGTATTTGCCAGAGATTTGTTAACATTTCCAGATAATGTAGAGCACTGTCAAACAGGTGAATGATATTAAAAAAAATTGGTAGTAATATTTTTACTTTTTTTAATAAAGTAGAGAAACAACACAAAAGAAAACTCATTCAGTAATCTTCATTAGGACATGTGATTTGCAAATACCAGTGTACGTTCCTTATGAGGCTTGCAGGTATAAGGAGTGTGACATTACTGTTAAGTACTTGCAGACAGCAGCTGTGAAAATACCAGCAATGACCAAAATCTAATTTAATACATTATCCAATTCCTCAGTACATCCAAACAGAACCTGACCACCACGGTATTATCTTTGTATTAACTACTGCAGAAGTCACCACTTCTGTTAATTTTCTTCTCTCAGAAGTATGTAATGCATGGTTTAAAACAGATTCTGACCAAACTGTATGTGACTATATCTGTCATGCTTAAATATTTACAATAAGAATAATCTTCCAGTTTTTATGTAGATTCCAGTTTAGGGAACTGCATTCCCCTGCTCTTTCTAACAGTGTGCCAATACCTACATTTTCCTAAATTCGTTTGCTTAAATTAATTTAAATTAATTTAAATTAAATTAGATCCTTATATCAAAAGTTAGAATCTATAGTTAGTTCTATAAGTTTTTCATCATACGTATAAACTTCCCAGTGTTAAAATGTTCCTGTCCATTGTTAATAAAAATACATTATAAAAAATTGGTCCAGTTAATTTTCACAGAATCACAGAATGGCCAGGGTTGGAAGGGACCTCAAGGATCACAAATCTCTAACCCCCTGCCACATGCAGGGTCACTAACCTCCCCATTTAATACTAGACCAGGCTGCCCAGGGCCCCATCCAACCTGGCCTTAATTTTCAGAATGTTAGATACTGCCAGAGACTTTAATTACAAATTCTTTTTTGTATTCCATTTTAGCACATAAGCTGATACTTTTGTGGAGAAATTTAGGAACACGTAGCTTGACATATCTTAAGCAAGGCTACTTAAAATTTGTATAGAATGATCTTCTGTTACGAGATGATCTTAAGATCAGTTGGATCAATCTGTTAATGTTTTCTTTTTTTCTTTGATTATCCATTGAATACTAAGAAATATATGAAGAATCCAAGAACACCATTCAAAGATGACTCAAAATGCAATTTATATAATTTCCTAAAGCTTGGCATTGTTTTTATATGCATCTTTATCAATGTAAATATTGGATACTAAAAGAGTACTACAGTGGGAAATAGTTATGCCACAAGGCAATGAAACATACTAAATTTTAATGAATTCTCTACTTAGTACAGAAGGCTGCATGATTAATATCACCTCAGCATAAAATTGAATTGAAAAATACATATGCTTTTTCCCTTTCACATATCTGAAAAGTCACAACAGTGATGCCCCAGAGTTAATTTTTCAAAACTTGCTTATTTTGTTGCAGAGAAATTTCAGTTCTATTTTTCTTTAAATTTTCCAGTGTTTGGGATGCTTTTGGGTGACACTATCATCATAGATAACTTGGACGCTGCAAACCATTACAGAAAAGAGGTATGTTTCAGTTATTCTTGATATTTTTTTTAAAAAACAAATGTATTACTGGGTCTACATATTAAATATATTGCAACTTGAGTAGTTAAAGTAGTTAATTGCAAAGTTTAGTGCTGCATTACTTATAACAGTGTGCTTATTGTTCATAAGTGTATTATGTTGTCCAGCAGAGGATAGAATCCTTATTATTGGCACTGACAAAATTACATCCGTTAAAGAAATTCCACTATGTGAATGTTGACATGAAGCATGGGAGCATATTATTAGAGGCCAACATTTGTAGTTTTCCTGTTAATATTAAAGGCAAGTTCTTGAGTACTTTCCTAGTCCCTGTAATAACACAGGAGTCTGAGGCACATCATGAAATTTCACATATGCTACAATGTTTAAGAACTTCATGTGAAACTTACTAGGCCTTTTTCTGACCAAATTTACCAAGGTTTAAGCAGACAAATTAAAGAGTCTCTGAGGAAGTCCTGTACTATGGGCGAAATCAGCTCTTCTGTTCTGTGGTTCCCTTTTTACTGGCTGTAGCTTACTAACAACCTTGGGAACAAAGAATGTCTTAAATGTTTCCAGAGAGCATCTCAGAAATATGGTGATAGTCATAGTAAAAAACAGCTGATTGACTTTATGAGTTTTCATCATGTGTATACATCTCCTTGTTATCAGAAAACACATCTACCACTTTTAGCTGAGAATACCCTATATGATTCTTTTATCTTTTTTTTTTTTTTTTTTTTTAACTGCAAAGTCAAAGAGGAGAGACAAAGGAGTCAGATGTAGATGCTCAACAGTGTTAGGGGACTGATCATCTGGGTCTGTCTGGGAAAAAGTTTTAACTACTAAAAGTAAATTTGACAAACTTTGTGGGAAGTTGTATTGAACACATTACAAGAAATAAATCCCTTAGATTTCAGATGCTTTGAATCTTATGCATTACTTGAAAGCAAAAGTCAAGAAACATAATTTCATAAAATACTACAATTAAAGAAGTAGCAACAACTTTGTAGCAACAACTTTGTAGTTGAAAGATGCTTAGCTTCACAGCAGCATTTCTGAAAACTTAGTTTTCAATGAAGTTACTAATTTTTAATACCACTTTTTGTACCTATGCAGGTAGTAAAAATTACACATTGCCCTACATTGCTGACTAGGGAAGGAGACAGGATTCGCAGCAATGGAAAATTTGGAGGCCTTCAGAACAAAGCTCCTCCAATGGACAAACTGAGAGGAATGGTATTTGGAGCACCTGTGCCAAAACTTTACTCTGCTTTCACTGGGCAGATAGGTGGGTTAATAAAAGGAAACCTTTAAATTAGCATAAAGTTATTTTAAGAATATGACCTTTAAAATGTCCTCTTTGTTAATTTTCCTTTATATTTCCTGATTTAAAAAAAAAATAATAAATCATGATACGTTGTCTCACTTTATTAATTTCATTAATGGAAGAGTTGAAGCATTGGTAAACATCCAAACAGCAGACATGAGGAGCTTGAAGTCAGTGAATTCTAGCATCTTTGAAAGCAGAAGTATCACGCCTTTCTCTTCCAGAAATGCTATACTTTAATTTAAAATTCCTTACTGTGCAAGTAATCTCTATTAGGAGAAATTACTGTTCCTGTCATTCATACACAACATCATCTATATTATTTCCCTAACAAGAATAGGCACTGTATTTCCCAAAGGATCACTTATTATTTATGTTACATGCTTCTTTTCTGAATAAATGTTACAAATGGGGTTAAAAGACAGTTGCTTTTGACATATAAAAACTGACCTGACTGACTTACAAAACAATGAAAAGACTTATTCAGAAATTACAGTTGTTATTTAGTATTTAATTTTCAAAATTAAGGATATGAAGATTTTCTGTAACAAAATGTGCAATATGGTTAAGGTGGATTGGGGGAAAGAGAGAACCCACATGCACCTTCTGGATTTGTCTTATATTTGAGCAAACAACATTGACCATTTCAGTGATACATTAAAAAAAGGAAAAGACTGAAAAGATCTTTCCTAGGCCTTTCAGTAAAAAAAAATAGGATCATAGAATCATAGAATTGCTCAGGTTGGAAAAGACCTTAAGGATCGTTAAGTCCAATCACGACCTAACCATACTACCCTAACAACCCCTGCTAAATCATGTCCCTGAGCACCACATCCAAATGGTTTTTAGATACATCCAGGGATGGTGACTCAACCACCTCCCTGGGGAGCCTATTCCAGTGCTTAACAACCCTTTCTGTAAAGAAGTGTTTTCTGCTGTCCAACCTAAACTTCCTCTAGTGCAACTTGAGGCCATTTCCCCTCGTCATGTCACCAGTGAGAAGAGACCAGCGTACTTTGAAACATATTGCATCTAGGAATAGTAAGCATTTGAGGTACAAAATTAAAATATTCTGGATTTAGTACATTTTATATTTCTTTATGAACACATTTTCAGCTGTCAAATTCCATTTCCAAGTGTGAATTAAATTTGATTTTTTTGTGTCAGATAATCTAGTGTTCAGTTAACCTTTGTTAGTTAAGCAAGCTTCCTCATGTAGTGAAGTAAAACAAATGAGCTTGGCCTAACATGCTTGAACTCTTTTTTTCTTGACATTTATTCAATGCATGGACAAAGGAAAATTATTTGCCACTTTCTTTAACAAGAGTAACATATTTTGTCAGCAAAATAAACCCTTATTAACTGTACTGCTCTTGCTTCATTTAAATGTCCCCATAAATGTAACAAAATGAAACTCAGTAAATTTTCTCTTGTTCCACAAGGTGGACTAGAATTCAACACATTAGCAGAAGCTTCGGCTGTGTGACTCAAAACAAAACAATACTAAAGTACACTCAGTGGCACTGGAGGCAGAGAGTTCGGCGAGGAGCAAGCAAGCAACAGGCTGTGTAAAGAACTGTTTGCCACAAAAATGTTCAGTTTCCTGGTACTTTATTGTGATCTAAATAACTGCTTAGAGAAAAAACAGAAAACAGAATATTGTATACGATTTTTTTCCAGCATTTCTTTACAGTAATATTAACAACAGCTGATCCATTGTGAGTTTGGGTGGGGCTTTAAATAGTGCTTTGTTTTTTTGTGACTTTTCCTACAGATCATACACTAAATAACTGTGTATTTAATGCTTTGTTTTAATATTTTATTCTTCAATTAGATCTTCTACAGCAGTACCGTGCAGCAGTTGTGAAACTTGACGATGTGAATAAAGACCTTGATTTACATTTGAGATCGCTTAACACTCCAGAAATGCTGAAGAAAAAACAAGAGCTTGCCGAACAAGAGAAAAGCCTCATGCTTATAGAACAAAAATTGGGTATGTTACTGTATGAGATTTTGTTAACACCAATTGTTGTGGTAAAGGAGGAGAACTGTTAACTACATCCAGATGTGTTCTACATTTGTAAGCTAGTAAGTACAAGCTATGAAAGAAAATTCTTAAAGTTACTTAAGGGCTTAGAGGTATTGAATTTTTATTAAAGGATGTAAAAATTCTGTGTAGTATGATGTGGGTAGTGCCTAGATGAGCGCTGCCCTGTGAAATATTCTCGTAATGTGATCAGTCAGTGACTTTTAAACATCAGACCATGATCTCACTGAGATTATGTAACTGTACATCTAACTTGCCCAGTTAGAACACTGAAAATCTTTTTGATATGACTAGGCAAAGAGCTGAATTGCTTTTGCTAAGGAGACGCAACCAAAACACTGTACTTCAAAAAGAAACACCCCTAATTCTGCGCAGATAGTATTTCATAGTTAGAAATATTTTTTTATGTCATTATCAAATAAACTATGCATCTTCAAAATATACTTCAAAAGTCATCATATACTCTGTTGCAACTGTAATTAAAGCAAAATGTGTTGGTTTTTTTTTTAATTTGTTCTTACCTGCAATTTCTTAATAGGTATGACTCCCTCAGATAAAGTCTCTGAATTGTTAGTTCAGCCTACAATCCTTGATATGCCTGACACCCCCATCCCTCCCAAAAGAATGCGAAAAGAAAGTGTAAAAAAATTGTATAGGTGAGTATTTCAAACATAGTCACTGTTTTTTCCATAGCCTGAGTTCAAAGCAAAAAATGTTTTGGGGAGCTTTTTTTCTTTGCTTGAGAGTTTTTTTATAAATTAATATTTATAATCAGCAACCAACAATAAGTAGAGTTGGCATGTGTCTGACTTTCAGAGTTTTGGGTTTTTTTTCCTTTAGGACTTCTGCTGTTAGTTTGTTTTAAACATTTGCTTACTAATTTTAATTGTTTCCCCTTATAAAGTGAATGAGTGGCATTTTTATGCATTCACATATTTTCAGTATTTTCAACTCTTAATGTGTAGAAGCATTCAAAATGGCTTGGCCTGTAAATTCTTTTAAGGTTCAGTTACAAATATTGGGCAGATGACTAGAGAGAGTCATTCTTATGTAGCTTTTTCTAGCTAACTGTCCAAAATAAGATGGTGCTATTTAACACAGTTATCTCTATGTATCTCATTCTGCATTGCCTCTGTTATTGATGAACATCTGTATGCAAAAAAAAAAAAAAAAAAAAAAAAAAAAAAAAGTGAAATATGTAAGATAATATCCTTAAAATTATGTGGAACTGAATTTTCCATTTTTGTATCTCTTTTTTGCTGAATTTCAGTCATATTTTTCAGATCATTTAAATCTTACTGAGTTGTGTTCTGTAAGTCTCAGTTTGACTTCACAATATTATGTATCACACATACGTTGCTTTTTATGTACTTAATTCAGAACTTAAGTTTTTATGTACTTGAATTATCTACTATTTAACCTGATTCTATCAATATTTTCTTCAAAATGTTGAGAATAAGAAGCTTTGAATAAAAATGGGGTTTGTAATATTTATATTAGTTGGTGCTCTGTGTATTTTGTATTCAGTTGTAGCAGAAATGTATATAAAATTGAAGATCTTGGTTTATAAGCTACTGTGCTGTGATGTTTATTTTGTTGTTCTTTTAGCTCAGAAGAATGGGTTTCCTCTGCTGCTAAGAAGCAGCTACAGCAACAGCAACCACTGCAGATACCACCTTCAGAATTTAATGGAACTACACGAAAGAGAAAGGCATAGACTGATGACTCTTGCTGGAAACATCTATAGATTGAAAATGTGAATAAATGCAGTTAAAGGAAATATTCATGTTGTATTACCTGTTACTACAAAGATTTTTATACTGATAAAAGATATAAATGTATTTCAGTTAGTAGTAAGAAAAATTTAAGTGTCTAACGTTGATAGCCTAATTTTTGTATAGTTAATTTTCATTTCCAAAAGCTTTCAGAGTTCTTATGTTCATGTGTGGAAAAAAGAAATTTAAGATATATCGTTTTTTATTTATGAAAAAAATTCAAACTTTTCAATAAAATTGCTGCAATACAAAACACTGTCAATGTAATTGTAATAACTGAGTCAGCAGACTGAAACTTTTTGTTTCAGGCTGGCTAGGGAAAGAGAACTTTCAGGGCTGCTCTTCTTTGATTGATGGATTGTCAAGGGATTGTAATATCAATTAACAAGAGAGGGTCGGAGACTCAGCGTAATGAAATCTAACCACAGTCATTTGTAGTTTTCAAGATAGTTAACAGAAAGCCATTATTTAAGGTGATGTCCAAGATGTTAACATAGAAATTTATATCTCCCTCAGAAATTTCTCCTTAATGGAGGAAGAAAGTAATGACTTGTGAGTACAAAAAGCTTAACAGCTTTACTAGGAAGCTGTTCTGTGGACAAGGAAAGTTGCTAAGGATTACATTTCATGGATGCAGTTGAGATGTATTATTATCCCAGTGCTAACCTCTTAATATCTCGATTACAGCAACACTCACAGAACAGCCTTACTGCTAAGCAGATAAAAATCAGTCCACGACACCAAAAGTGTAACTGGGACATAATGATTTCAGTAGGAAATGGTGAGATCACAAAGGGAGAAAGAAAAATGATTAGTCTGTGTATGCTTTTTAAGAGTTAGAAATAGAGACTAAAACAGGAGGTAGAATAATCATGAGGAAAGTGTAGATATCTGAACAGCATTTTGTTTTGTAAGGATTTCTCTTGTTTTAAAACTTACATCAGTAGATTTTGTTGGCTTCCTTAAATGCCTAAAGCAAATTAAATTTTTTTGAAGTTTAAAAAATAGTCTTAAAATACAAGAGAAAATATTCCAACTGGTAAATGAGACTACAAAAAAGTGAGAGGGAGAATCAAAGGTAAACTGTAGTCTTCTGAATGCATTGCGAGGATGTTATCAATTTCTCCAGTAAAAAAATATATATATAAGTTTTCTGAAAAGGGTCTTCAAACTTAAAAAAGACATTGTGCCATCCTGCTGTAAGTCTCATACTGCTGATCCCTTTATGACATTTCTACTTAAACTTCTCCAATTTATGTATACAACACATAGTAGGTTAGGAGAGTGTATGGGAACTACTGAATCACAGCCTGAACCTCTGATTGACCACCTTTGGCAAGCAATGAGTCAGCCACGGGAGCATAGGTGAAGGTAATTCATCTGTGCTACCGGAAGGGGTGAAGCTTGGCTCTACTAGATCTCATTTAAGTGCTGACTGCCACTGAGGAAGGATCTCTTCCTGGAGATCACTCTGTGTGGCGAATATTGCAAGCCTACAACGTTGGTAAGCATTTTCCACTTGTCATCTGTCTATTGTGATAATCTTACTTAGCCTAAAACTCAGTACACCAATTGATTTTACAGCTCTGTAAGCTTATTGAGAGAGGTTCTACAAACCTCATGTCTTAATGATAATTGAATTATTTAGATATCAAATTGTACTGTTTTCAAGGAAAATATTTATTTACTTGAATATAGCATGTAACATCAGCAAAGGCACAGTTATTTTCCTGTTTTTTGTTGAACCAAGCAGCTGTAATGGAGAGTTTGCTGTCCTGCCACACCATACTCATTAACTACAACTACTTAGTACTTCTTGTAAATGCTTTTATTTTCTTACTGACATCTACCTCACCTCAGCCTCTGGATGATCTTGAAGTTTATTAGATTAAATGCCTACTCTAACAGAAGTGCTTACTTTTGAAATTTATCTCTGGACTTCAGTGGTCAGAACTACTGTTAAGTGAAGCATCTCCCTCGTGGAAGGAGCAAACAGGAAATTAAGAATGATTTCCAGAGTTGTGCAACAGTCATCAAAGACTTCAGGGAATTTCACCAGTGGAATCTTCAGGAGTTTTCTTCAGAATTATTGAAAATTAATCACAGCAGAAGTTCTGCTTTGAATAGCTATTTAGGACCATCCATCTGGTCCTGAAAGAGCCTTTAAGCTCTTAAGGTAAGTGTCAATTTTTTCCTTACTGATTCTTTACTCTAAAACTACGGTATGTATGATTTGTTCTCTGATTTCACCAGGGACTGAGTGAGAGCTGTGCGGGAAACAAGAGGAAGTGGTTCTTGCTGAGGCCTGAGCCAGCTCATGGGAACAGGGAAGTGGTTTCTGATTCACCCCAGAAGCATCCTTGGGTGTGGGGATGGACCTTCTTTTTTATAGGCAGACTCCTCAAGTTTACTTACTTTTTAATTACTTTTTTTCCATGTGATAGCAGAAAAAGAGCATTGTTTTTAGAAGTACCTTTTCATCTCTTTTCTTAACCCATAGGACAGGCTTCCTTAATAGAAGCGTTATTATTATAGTACTTACAGTGTATATGATCAGAGCATTTGGTTGAGGTTGTGGTGGTGTCATTTTGCAGACATTTAAGAAAGCGTTGGCAAGGAACTGTCGTGAAAACACTGTTTGCCTTCATGCATCAAATTTTCTCCCAAATAATTCTGCTTCCTGTCATAGTTTCGTCTGGGACAGAATGGTTTTCTTCAATACAGTGGTACAATGCTATGTTTTGATTCTAGGAGCAAAACAATGTTGAAAAAGTACCAATATTTATTTATAGTTGCTGCTAAGCAGTGTTGTACAGAGCCAAGGCCTTTGGCAGCGAAGGGCCCGAGGAGTTAGGAGGGAACAGAATTAGGACAACTGACTTAAACTGGCCAAAGGGATATTCCATACCATGTGACGTCGAGCAGAAGCTTTGAAGGGTGTGGGAGTTAGTGTTTCTTCTGCTGCTCAGGGGCTAGCTGGGCATTGGGGATCATAGTCATGGAATTGCTCAGGTTGGAAAAAACCTTAAAGATCATCAAGTGCAACTGCAACGTAATCAAACTGCCCTAACTCTAACAGCCCTCTGCTAAATCATGTCCTTGAGCGCCACATCTAAACGGTTTTTAAACATATTCAGGGATGGTGACTCACTCACCTCCCTGGGAACCTATTCCAGTGCTTAACAACCCTTTCTGTAAGGAGGTTTTCCCTGGTGGTGAGCCCATCATGAGCCCATCCCATCATGGGATGGTGACCAAGTGCTTGTGCATCAATTATTATATGCATATATATAATATTTGTCATAATTATTACCCTTTTATCTGTCCCTAAATAGTTTTATCTCAACCCACAAATTCTACTGTGTTGGTCTTTTTTTTTTTTTCCTGATTCTCTTCCCCATCCCAGTGGAAAGTGGAAAGAGTGAATAAACAACTGTGTGGTGCTCAGGCCAGGCACCTGCAGGGTTAAACCACAGCAGGTTTTTTTCAGTATTTAGGAAGAAAAGGCTAGGCAAGATTTCATGTCATTAGCACTGCAAGTGTAATTGCTTTCACCGAGTCAACCAGCACTGAACAGATCTGCAGTTGATCCCTTCACCTGCTTGGACGCAGTCCAATATAGAAGCTCAAATTAGTTCTAGTATTTTCCTTTTTAAAACTCTGTTTGCTTATCTAGGAATCACAAACACATTGCTGATGGGAACAGTAGTGCTATCTTTCAGCATGAGGTAAGCATTAGCCTCCTTTTCTGCCTGTTCCTGCAGTGGGTGTATCCTGTGATTTTGACATTCCTGTCACACCAGATCATCTCCCCAGGCTGCAGCAAACAGCGATCATTTCTGTTTCATAAGAGGTATATACATGTGTATGTGCATTCGAATAGGTATGTTTATGTGTGTGTATATTTATAGTTTTATACATATATAGTTATATATATGTTACTTTGTTACGTATTTCTGTGAACAGGCTCTTCCACACCCACTGCTGTTACAAAAATGCACAGAATTGCAATGGAGCTGCACTAGATGTGCTTGAACTGCACAGCCACTCTATTCTCTTCATGTAGTATGTCTTCTCTACTGTGAAATAGTTCAAGGGACAGCAGGCTCCATTGGAGTAAACAAAACTGATGTATGAATGTGTGCACATACACTAATTAAAAGCAATTTTATTTTAAGCTAGCCTATACATAAAACCGGGGCAAATGTTCAGATGTTACCGGCAAGCCTTTGGTTTGCAAATATATCAATTCCATAATTTTTACTGGATGTGTGGGTTCCCACAGTTCTCACCAGTTTTTATAGGACTGAATTTATGAGAGCTCTAAAGAAATCCCACTCACTGGTGTTTTGGACTGAGTTGGAAAAGACCCACAAAGATCATGCAGTCTAACCTCTGACTCCACACAGACCACCCAAAATCCAACCCCTATGGCTGACAGCGCTGTCCAAACACTCCTTGAACCCCAGCACTTGGGGCTGTGCCCGCAGTCCTGTGGTGCAGCACCTGTCCCCAACCCCCAGCTGCCCTCCCCTCACACAGCTCCATGCTGTTCCCTCAGGCCCTGTCGCTGTCACACAGAGCAGAGCTCAGCGCTGCTCCTCCGCTCCCTGAGGAGCTGCAGCCACTATCAGGCCTCCCCTCAGCTCCTCTGCTCTGTGCTGAGTACAGCCAGGGACCTCAGCTGCTCCTCATCCTTAGTGCCCTCTGAACCATTCTCCATCTTTGCGGCTCTCCTTTGGACACTCTTAACAGTTTTATCTTTATACACAAGAAAAGATTTTGTAAGGGTTTTTGTTTTTGTTTTTTTCCGTTCTTACATGCAATAATCTAATCTAATCTGTTTGCCTGAACTATGTCATGTTAACTTTTTAGCAAAGGAATGCTATGTTCTTGTAGCTTGATGGAGATTTAGCAGGCTCTACTTTCCACTATCCACTCCTTTATCCATCACTCTATAACTCAGTCAAACCAACTAAAACACATTGTGCAGGAAATACGCAAATTGTCACACTATTACAGGAAAATGACTATTTATCCCCCACCCAGTTTACTTAAATGTTTGGAAGAATGGGGAACCAATTAACTTCTCATTCAGCATTTTTTACTTGCTTTTTTTACTCATTCAGTATTTTTTAACTTGCTATGTTTAAAAATTGCTGAATAAAAGGGTTATTAAATTAAAAGCTGCTGATAGTTTAATGAAAATGATCTCCAAAGCTGTTAACCTTAGCTTTCTCTAGTAATCAGCTGAAAGGAGGCTGGTGAAAACAGGTATTTCCTCTTACGTATATATCTTGCTTGTATTGTTTTCTTATGATTGGATTCAAAATATGTTAAAGAAATGAAACAGCAATATCATAAAATCAGTATGTAATTAAAGGCACATAATAGGCAAGGTGGACTGGTACGTTTCTACTCTGCCTTACTTAAAAGAACCTGTCTTCTTAACTGAGGATCTTTTAGCACATTGTGTGTGGTACAACAGCCACTGAATTTAGCAACTGTTCTCTTGGAAGACACAGATTGTAGGTTCAGCTCTGCTCAGGCTGGAAAAGCTGGTTATGCAAGAGAAAAATTCATGACAGCTTGAGGAATGCAGTGAAAAGAATTCTTCGGAAACAATGGAAGAAGCTATTCTACAAGTTGCTCAAGAGCTGCTTTTCTTTAACAGAGTCCTGGGGCGATTCTAGTGCAGAGAGTGTCCTGTGAAAAGTGAGAAGGGATGGTTAGAAGTCCTTGTAATGTTGGGGACTTTTGGCCAGAGCAATCAAAAGAGCAGTCAAGAGAGTTGTAGCAGTACATAACAGAGTTTGTTCAGTGAGGGAAACCGAAGTACAGCTGCTGAAATGGAAGCATGCTCAAGACTGTACACATGCAAGAAGCCTCACATAGTGAAATGACCCTGCTTCTGTGGCAAATGGTAGTTTTGACAGATAAACTAACTACAGAAAGCTGTCTTTAGCACAGCTTTCTTAGCTTTGGTCATCCACCACTGTCCACCCCTGAACTAACCTGAAGGTGTGCGGCAAGGCTGGTTGAGTCCAGCTGCTATAAGACTGTGGTAAAATGGGAATGGGATAAATCCCGTGTTGCTGTTGCAGTGTGCTGTTATGCAGACATGTGGAAGCTTGCAAGTAATCATTTCCTTTATTGGCATTTTAATCACCATTTTGAGTTTGTAATTACATTCTGAGTGGAGAGCCTCCAGACGCCAAAGGCAGTTTATTGTCATGCAAAACTTGGAAGAAAAAAGGCTTTCTGAAAGTGGGTGGTCAGACAAAAACTTTGACTTATTCCATTGGACTCTGGAGGAGTATTTTGTCTCCCTGCAGAACTAAGCCAGTCTAGGAATCTGCACCGGAGCATCGAACCTGTATAAGCTGTGACCATTTTTGTCCTCCTACTCTGCAAATGCTTTGAGGCAATGGGAGTGCTGGAAGAGGGGTGCATACTTGTCCAACACAAAACAAAGCCTAAAGAATGCTTGCTTTTTCCACTTAAATATGACCTGTGTGTTTGGGCATAAACTTGTGATGCTGCCAGAGCCTCTTCTAACAAACTCTGTGTCCCACATGTCCCCAGATATAACCAAGAGCTCTCAGGGAACTCTGAATGAGAGCACGTGTACCGGGGATAGGGGAAGCTGTGTGAGGAATGGTGATGGCTTAAGGAATCAGCTATTTTTGACTTGGAAATTTGATTCTGAGATTTCACATCTGCAATTTGACATTTGTAATTTGACATTTGTAGGCCTCTGTTGCTGGATGCTTCCAAAATCTAAACAGCCTGGGGCTACAGGTTTGGCTCATCATGGAGGCTACTGACAGGTGACTTCAAGTATGCTCAAGAGGCTCACTTCTGTGGTAGGAATTTCTTAGAATTAGATGATGAAAACACAGAGAAGACAAGCAGATAAGCAAAGACTCCTGGAGACAATAAAATCCCTGATAAGTATGCAAGAAATAATGTGGAAACTGAATGAGAGATGGACACGTATATTAATACTACACAGAATTACTGTGGTGAGACTCCTAACAGCTTAATTCTGTTTCCAGGTTTACAGACAGGCTCAGACTCAGGATTCCGGTGATTATACATTTCAAAAAAATCCACTCTATACAGTAGATTTTCTAATAAATCATTCATGCTAAATGCCATATGCCTTATGGACAACTTTTCCTCCCATTTGTGGTCATACGAGTTCCTTGGGTCTCCAAATGATCACAGGGACAGAATCGATGTTAAATAAGGTTTGCTGGTGCAAGCAGCCATTTTTTAAAAGAGAAAGAAAACACTCTTTTTAAAAATTTCATATTCTACTTTTTACTTTTCGCTCTGTATGTGTGTGACTCTCAGATCAGAGCCTCAGTTATTCCACTAGTCTTCTGTGAATCATGGCGTGGGAATGCGTGTTCTAGGCCACACAACTATGAGTCATTTCTATATTTATATTTCAGAAATATAAGTAGTAAACTCTAGAAAATATTAAGTGGGCTTGGAAAAAGAGAACCTTCTGTATATATATATATATATATATATATATGTACATGTCATACAAATGTGGTGTACGTATGATGTATTTCATGTACTTTACATTAAAAAATGTCAGGTATTCTGGAGAAGAGTTGCTTTTTAGATACTGACACACTGATTCCTAAATCCAGAGATATACTTTAAAATTTCTTTCTTCTGAAGTGGCTCTGTGTGCTCTTCTCTTTGAATGGCAATGTATGTGACATGATGTAAAGAAGGACTGGAAACGTTACTTTAGCAAAATGTGTTGAAGTGCAAACAGCGAGTGAACTTTTGAACTCTTTTTGCATTCTCAGAGGATCTGGAGGGGTCTCTGCCAGGTTCAGAGAAAGAGCAGAACATGGATACTTTTGTTAGAATGCTGGCAATTGGAATTATCTGGAATCAGCATGGTTTACTCAGATTTGTTTGTATTCCAGCTTTTGCACTAGGGACACAACTAAGGAAATTCAAAGCTCATTTGTGCCTCATGATGCAAAACCAAATGATCTTTTCTTTCACCATTTTTTTTCCTTTTTCATTTTCAGATCTCAGTAGCAAGATCACACTTTCAAGCAGTCTGTCCGATTTTTTTCATGTTTTAGACCGTCTTACCATAAGAAAACTAGCATAGCCATAAAACAAAGGATATTTATGACTTTTTTTTTAGAGCCCAGCTTATAATTTCAAATTGGATTTCTCATGAATAAGTGTTACTCAGTTTCTCTTCAGGAAGTTTCCTTTATAGGAGTGAGTAACAATCAAATCCCATGTCAAATGCATGATAACATTATCGAAACACAGGAATTTGGGATCAAAGAGTGTGCTGGTTAGCTTTGTTGCCAAGACTGTTCCAGATCCTTATAAAGACGTGCTGACACATCGATGCAGTGTGTGAAGGAGCTATGTAGAACATTTTCCACAGTGCTACTTGAAATGTAAGTCATTCCTTTGTTGGAATCTCTCTCCTGCATCTGCAGAGATTGCATACAAAAAAAGTAGTAATGAAAAAAATACACCATCTTCCTGGGGGGTAAGAAATGGAAAGAAATCTTTGCTCTTTTTTCTGGGTTGGCAAAGCAGAAAGTTCAGTGCTCTGCATTAAAACAATCTTTCAAGAAACATTTACGATACACTTAAAACTTTGGAAATCACAAGTTTATTAATTGTCACTTCATTATGCTGTCCTCAGCCTTCAGAATGTTCCAAAACATTCCAAAATCAGAGCTCTCACTTTTAAGTCTACTCAGTTTTTGGAGCCTACTTGCTGCATCTCATGTGCACACTGTGCTGATGGTGCATCTCTCTTCCCTCCTTTACACAGTGCTCCAGATTCCTGGAAGAGAAGAAAAAAACTTGTGAGAACATTCCTGAGTTTTAGGCAATGCCCATTACTGGTCTTGGAATACTTTGACATAGCAACAGAGACAGAGAGAGAGGGAGAGAGATTCAGCAGTATTCAAGCCTAGTTAACATTCACTTAAGTTAAAAAGAAACAATACCATCTTAGAATCCATAAGGTCTAGAATTTTTATTTGCATAATTGCCTCTGTTGGCAGACCTTGTAAAAAAAAAAAAAAAAAGAGCTTTTGTAATTCTTGCTGTTTCTCTGTATATGTGTTTATTTATTAAAAACTGAGAAAGAGCTTTGTGAATGGTAAATGTAAATTGTTCATTAAAAGGTAATAGGAAAGCCAGAGTCTTTAGGATGAAAAAGAACTATCAGGTTATCTCTACCAAAGGGTCAGAAAGGCTTTGCAGATGAAGTGCTGGATGTCACTTCACTCTTTTTCTTTTTTTTTTTTTCCAAACTTCAGTTAGAAATCTGGATGTTCTTTCCAACCAGGTTGGAAAGTAAAGATGATTAAATAAGATTCATTTCTGTAGGTAGTAATGCATTGGGCTCAAGTGGGAGTTGCTGGTTGTTCTGTAAATCTGAAAATCAACCCATTGGACTTCCACCCTAAGAGAACAATAAGCTGGCTCTGTAAGTAAGTACCCATTTGTTAATATGACTGTGATGACATGTAGACTGTGGCTACAGCCACAAAATCCAGCTGTTCGGGATGGCTTAACTGCTCATTAGTAACCTGCGTTCAAAGTAAGGCTTTTAAAATCTAATGGATTTTTCTGCCTTTTTCTTAATTTAAAATATTAGAAAAGAACCAAGGTCCTAATAATTGCTGGAGAGCAGTGCAGGATGGGTCTTATTTTTTCATCAATTTGGACCCCTACTGCATTGCATAAATGTCTCAGCCAGGCATAGAAGCTATCATTCATCTATGAGTTCACAATTCCAAATGTTCCAAAAGTGTTTGTTTTCTCCAGCACCAAGAACATGCTGCCATATCAGATGCTAACAGTTGAAAGCACAGGAACGGGAGGCCATAGTTAAGATTTCCCATCTGAAACAGCAGTCTGAATCTACCAACAAATGTTTGTGAATGC